GGGAGGCATTGGGAGCGGCGTCAGCCGGCCCGCTATATCTGCATGCCACGGAACCTCTGGCATGTGTCCCCCGTCCGCAAAAGATGCGCGGACATGCTTGAGGACTTGTGCAAACAACAAGCTGAACACAAGGTCTGACAGAGAATCTCCTGGCCTAGAGCCTATCGCAGTCGATACTAGTTCCTCCTCATCAGGGAATCGGAACCACGTATCTTGGAGTGACTCATCGAGTGCCTTGGCAGCCCAGGGGGTTGCCCCTGCGGAGGCAGCAAGTGCTGGCTGTTGAAGGTGGCGTTGAATGTCATGGTAGACGCCACTCGGTAGATTGATTGCTCGGCATGCTCCAGCAAGCATGTCCTCTGTCAGTGGGCCGCCGGTCACCAAAGGGCGAACGATACGGTAGAATGCCTCTTGTAAGTCAAGAAAAAGCACACCGTGGCAGAGACCGCGGTTCAGGCAGGCCGACTGGTAGAGGCGTGTGGCATGGGCAGGAAGTGTGACCGGAAAACCCGGTAGTCCTCCTACCTGCAGAGGCGAAGTAACCGTCCCCAAGGCTGATACACACTTCCTTCTGAGGAGTTTGTGTAGGGACTTGCTCATGATAGAGGAGACTAAAATTCCGCGATAGGAAGTGCAGAGTTGTCGTGGGCCCTTGCACTTGTAGACACAGTGTAGTACTCCACCTTTATGCTGAATTGGCTCAGCCAATGTGAGCAGTGACTTGAGCTGCAGCTGAAAGATGGGTTTTGCGAGTAAAGGTGCACAATAGTGCAAGAGCTCGCCAGGGAGCCGCTCGAGCCCATACGCTCTGTCGGTGGAGGTGGCGCACAGTGCCCACTCAAGGTTCCCAAGCGTGGGGGCGTCGGCATGCGAGACTTCATAATCGTCCAAACATTTAGCCTGCTGCCTTTGAACTAATTCAGTGGGTGTACGTTGCGTGCCTGCTTCAATGGATGAGAAGTGGCTAAGCCAACATTGCTTGGCCTCATCATGTGAGGAGGCTAGAGTTCCATCCTGTTTTTCGACGGCAGGAAGAGGCCTGTGGTCACGTCGTTTGCGCTTCGGTCCTCCAGTCAGGGTCCGAAGTGGAGGCTGTAGCAGAGGCAGCCGCTGTGGCCCTGATATGCGCGTGGTGATCTTGTCGGATGGCTTGTCGCAACTCCTGGCTGGAGCGACGAAGGTCCTCCAAGTAGGTGGGGAGATCCCGGAGGGACCAATGCAAGGCATGTGAGGGAAGCGTCAAGCAGGCGCCTTTGGACACACCACGCGCGAAAAGCAGCTCTAGCCATCCATAGGTGCAAGATCTTATAGAGGCACTCTTGACTCGTTTACGGAGCCATTCGCGTTTGTTGCGTAGCTGCCATGTAGTAGCACTGAAATATTCGTGCCGACAGGGAGCTCTTTGCATTGGAAAAGCACTAGCAAGCCGTTCCCGGAAGTACTTATCTAGCTCTTGTGAGATACATCGACAGATAGATACACAAACATACATAAGAATGAATATAGGTAGATGCAAACAAGACGAATAAGCAGATATACATTGAGTATGTCCTTGAGGGTTGCAGCACCTGTTTTGGATGGGAGGGGTATGTCAAGCAGTGTCCGTGAGAAGTCCAGATCCAGAGATCGGTGCAGAACCCCGGGCGCTACAACTACTTCCTACTTATGTCCTGCAGGCTGAGTGTGTCACTGACGGTTGCGGGCAGAATCAACATGGCATGATTTCATGCCAGGCCTTTGCTTGTCCACGACGTGCTGAAGATGGGCTTTCAGAGCAGCCTTTCGTGCCTGGAGCTTGCCGTCAATCTCGCTTGAGGTTGATCGATCCATCCATCACGTGCTGCCCAGGTTTGATCAGGCAACATCCATGATGGCTCGTGGGGTTTCCTGGCCGCAGCACACTTCTTGTTGCTTTGTTATGAGCATGTTCTCAGTGGGAGCTGCAGTAGGTTACCTTGCCCTGGACCTAAGAGAGAGAATGCATCGGTTACATGCCAGCCTCCAGAATGCTCTCCAACGGCTAGATTTTCAGCTGGTACTTGGTTCAAACTTGTCTGTGCTTCCCACACACTTATGACGAGGTGCCCACGATTGATTGTGAGAGGGGCAGCAACGCAACAAAACATAGAGGCATCTTTTTTGAAGTACGGAGTGGCTGTTGCTCCGAGGACATGACGCTGGCCTCCATGGATGGTAGATTGCCCAAGAATGTCGTTGCACGGAAACTCCGGCATTTTCGCAGAGCACGAAGCAGAAAACAGCATTCCTACATGTCGGAAGACAGCTGGGAGGGTCGACTTGGAGCTTCTGATTGCCAACTCAGGCAGGGCCATACCGCGTGACGCTGCCATTGATGAGCACGGGCAGCCGACGCATGAGTCCCAGAGAGACTCGAGCAGCTTCGCTGTTAACCCCCAAGCCACGAGGACTGACGCTGCAGCTGGCCTTCAGGGAGCTCAGTTGCCGTTTGCCGGTCACAAGGTGCGAGCGGTACGATGTAAGACGTGACACCGCAAGTCTCTTCTTCCGACAGGGCACCTGTCTTGCCTTGATGATCGAGCTTTTGGCAGCGAGCTTTACAGGTACACTGCAACATGCCTTGGAAAAGCAGGAGGTAGAACCTCGCCCCATCACGTAGGTGATGCATTCGCGTACGAAGTCCGTGACGATCCAGCTACCGGGCCAACTCAGCATGGAGCAATCCTCGGAGAACGTTTGTGGCAAAGAGTGCCGCAGTGAAGCGATGTGTGCATGAAGGGTTCTCCGTGGCCTGCTTTGCTCCATGAAGTTCACGTACTTCAGCTTGTGTGCACTAATATGTCTCAGTGCATCGAACCAGACCGTGTAAGGAGAGTTTATCCTGGCAGTTGATCCCGAGACGTGCTCGAAAGCAGGCAGAGATCTGCATGCGGTTTACGGGGCTGAGATGTCATGCATCCGATTCTCAGCCCATCTTTGTTCTGAGCTGCGCGTGGAGGTGGGCGTGCTGCCTTCCTGGACAGGGTAGAGGTCAGATGGCCACGATTGCAGGATGTGCCCTATTGGCGGGTTCATGCGTTTGTTTGCATGTGCCTCGACGTTTCATGAAGGTTAAAAAACAGCACAGGGTGTACTGTGCACATTGACGGTTCCAAGCAGACATGTGTTCTGCAGGCCTTGCTGCGGATGGTCGAGGCTGAAGCCAAAGCTGCTGAGGCCTCTAAGACATCAAACGTTGCTATCGTCCGAGCATCTTTCGCAACCTTGTCCTGACCTGGAAAGGCACGCTGTTTTGTAACGTTTTGCTTTCTTGTCGCCCTCGGGGTTTGTTCAGGCATGATCTCTCTGGAATTTGTTCGATTGTGGCGTGTTTCCACGAGAAGAAATGAGTGTTAGCTGTGATTTGAAGAGGTTAAGGCATGTCTTGCCACGTCGCGTTTCTTCTCCACTGTGTTGTTGGTCCTGAAGCGGACCCGCACCATTGTTATCCGCGGAGGCGTTATCTGCTGGATTCTTTTCTTCGTGCCTCGAGAAGTCACCTTGCCCGTGATCGGAACGGGCGATGAATGGCATGGGCCACAAACTTGGACTTCTTGTGTAGTCGGCAGCACTCTTCATCGAGCCGGATCTGCCGGTCTCTGGCTGACTGTAGCAAGGAACGGTAGCTTCCTATCAAAAACTCGCGCGCGCAGCAGTCTGCGCGTTGGAATTCAGGCGCTCCTGGTAGTGCCAGCCCTCGCGGCATGCACAGCATGTCGAAGCTGACAGTGCATCTCAATCGAATCAATGGCTCCATCGTTGGGTCTGGGTGGTCTACCACTTCTCACGCTTGTTCCTCTTCTTGCTTTGGTTGAGGTTTAGAGCGAGGGCTTCAAAATTCTCAGTCTCTTGCAAGGTGCTAGTGTCGCGATTGTCACTTCCGAGTCCTTTTCACATTTAGAGTTTCCACTCCTCCACACTTCGGTTAGTGGCATTCGGCGAAGGCTTGCCACTGCAGTCTCTTTTGTTTGGCACTCCCCAGTCCTTTTGGGGTGCAGCAGCATCATCATCAGCATCATAGGCTGCGTTGTTCTAAGGGTAACCCAACGTAATCGGGGGTTATAGCTTGAAGGCAAGAAGCGCTCAATCGACAACAACTGTCGTAATGGACATCGTCCCCGTCACAAATGCCGCCATCGTTGGGACGAACGATAAGGGTACACCGATCAGAGTGTGTTGTGCAGTGGGACTTTCAACTCAACAGTCAACAATGCACCTCCGCGCCGTCGTAGGCCGATGGGAGAAGCATGCGGTTGCCCGCCCAGCGAAGATGGGCAGCTCGGAAGACGACGCCGCAGGACCCGGACGAGAGAAACCCAGGTGCTGCATCGTGGCGTCATGTGTTCGTGAAGAAGCGCTTCTTCAGGAAGGCTTTGACATTGACGAGGCAAGACTGACCTTTGCGCAGTGTTTGAGGTGAGGCAAGCCTGGTTGAACACGGGGCACCAAGATACTGTGGCGGTTGCCTATGTCGATTTACTGAGAGACATGAGATGGAACCTCGTGAGTTCTTCCTGCAGCAGTTGGTCTCTGTGGAATCGTTGGTTGTTGTATTTCAGATGGCCAGCAGAGTGTCCCTTGCAGGAGTTGCTCGGGAAGTGTAAGGCCCTTTGTGAGTGAGTCTCGCTACAAGCAGATGGAAACAAAGGTTTTCCCTAGGCTTGCTCGGACTCGGCTCAGCGTCGAAGCAAAGCTGCTGAGTCTCAGCCAGAGCTGAGGGGACGACCGCCAATCCCAGACCCAATGCGGATGAGCTTCTCGGAATGTCGCCGTGAGTGGATCCCATGTCGCGGCCTAGCCTGTACGGTGTAATGTGCGCAACCGGTGTTTTTTCCGAAAAGACGACGTTCGATGTACAACAGCAGCCAGCATTCGAGATGCACATAATGCATGCTGCAGCCAGTGTTGACAAATTCGTGGTCGGCCAGCAGAGAGCACCAGCCGAACAGTCGCGTGAAGTAGAATAGGCCTCTTCTCGCGCCATGGGACGTCGTCGCTTCGCGAAGAAGGGGGAGGCTGGAAACGGTGATGCCGCAGCATTCCAAACTTGGCTTCCTCGCCGCAGGATGTGCGTCACTTCAAGCTCGTCGCACGTCCAGGGGCCGATGATGATGACGGTAGGGGGGCATGTTCCATTGCAGCATGTCCACGGTCAGCAGGGCGCATGAAGGACTTGTGTTTGGTGCTGGATCCCTGCGACGATATGTCTGAGGAACTTTGCATGCATTGAAGCACACTTAGGTGCTGCTGTCCAACCCACCAGGCGAGCCGCGAAAATATTGCAGGCAGAACACCACTCGCAACAGTTATTTATCAATCAGTGGACACACTGGATGCACACCAAGCAAACTTTGCAAAGCGATATACACACACACACACTCTCTGTGTGTGTGTGTGTTGCACTGTGGGTGTAGAGCCCTTATCATCACTGAAACTACGATGTGCGCGTGAAGCATGTGTTTTGTTGCTTCTGTTTCAGTGATTCAATGGATGTGCCGTCTCAGTCAGCTTGTGTGCGTGTTGGTTCTCTCTCCTCGCCAGATAAGCCGCCGCTCGTCCTGGAGCCTTTTGCGCCGCCAGGCCATCGCTTCGTGTACTGAAGCAGATCAGAGATCGTGCCGTCGTGGCTGATGGTAGCTTGAAGCTCTGAGGGTCCCTTCGCCGCACCGGCAAGACAGAGGCTGGAAGCTACTTGTCGCTGAGCGTGTCGGATTAGAAAGTTGCGCTGTAGGCTGAAATGCTCGCCGTTCCTGAGAGCCTGCAATCCCATGTGGGGCATGGGCCCCGCCGGCTGTCTTGTCATTTGCAGTTAGGTTTAGGCCGAGGCAGAACGAGCTGGCGTCTGGCAGCGGAAATTCCATGTTGAATTTTACATCTCTGAGCTTACGGACCCGACGGAGAAAAGTCAGTAACCAAACCCCAGTTTGGGATGTGGCCGGACAGCCTCCGCTAGTTGGACAGCAGCCGAATTTAGAGGTCCAATGATGAACACCGCGGTAGGTAGATGTGCTGGTGTCAGTACCTGATTTCGCAAGGAGTGCGGCCGAAATTAACCGAAGCAGTCGAAGCCGATCGTTTCCGAGAGACCCCTGGCTGACCGAGCGCTGAAAGATGCCCCTCTCGACAGGTTTTTGTAACCCCGAAAGACGGGTTTTTCAATCGAAACATCGCAGCATGCAGAACTGTTGCTTGCTTGCACAAGCCAAGCCCCAAATCAGCCAACCCCAACCGACGGCCTATTCTCGGGATTGAACTGGTTTGGTTGCCAACCCAGGTGAAGGTGTGCCCCACTCAAGTCAAAAATGCTCGGCGCCCGAGGTCGGCCATTTTCCAACCTGGCCACGACGATGACGAACGCGATGGCAAAAGGAGCTGCTGCTGACGGCTTTGCCCACGATTCTCTGCTGACTCTGCTGCTACGGCCAGGAAGAAGGAAGCAACTGGCGGTGCGCTCTAGTTTCCCGTCAACTGCTGCACTACATCCTCCATGCACGGCTCAATAAACAATTGGTTTCATTTGGGACTGCCAGGCCTCGATGAGGTGACGTTCCAAGCTGATCCGTTTGGCATCTCGCTGCACAGTGGGCATGCTGCACAAACAGGACGTTGATGTGGACGAGCTCGACGGTGACTGCTATTTCCCACCGGATGGCCTGCTTCCTGCGGATACTTTCGAACTGGAGAAGACGAGTCAAGTTCTGTGACCCTAGGCTACGACTACGAGCAGCATTTGAAGACTGTCAGCGGCACGAAGAAGGCACCTTGTGCCGGGCATTGCCAAGCTGCTCTTGTGGTCGTGAGACTCTCCAGACAAGGAGGCCATACCATGTCCTTTTCAGGCTAAGAGCGTGGTCGGTGTGGTGCTTGCGGCCCCCGAGCCGGTCAAGGAAGAGGTGCTTCGAACAAGTCGGAGAGCAGAGCAGACCTACACTTGTGAAGCCCCTTGATGACCTAACTCCTACGTTACTATGAAATAATATTATTCCGGAACATTTGCAAAACCAATGGGTTCCAAAATGCGAAAACAATGGGTCCAGAAATTGGTCCGGAAATGGGTTCGAAATGGGTCCGGAAATGGATCAGGCAGGCCACTTGTTGCAAAAACTCAGCAAAATGCAAAACCATCTGGGTCAAGAAATGCATCCGGAAATGGGTCGGGACCCATTTCGGGACCCATTTTTGAACCCAGTGTTGGACCGGAGAATGATTTGCGGACCCATTTTCCCGACACCTGGATCCCATTTTTGGGTGCCTTTTCGCATTTTGGAACCCACTGGTTTTTGCTGTGAAAGCGAGCTCTGAAGAGCCTGATGATCAGTAGTGTTTGCACTGCTGGTGTGGATGCGGCTGGCCGACTGCACTGTTGGCTCAAGCCAAGCGAGAAAAAGGCGTGAACCTTTTCAGATGCATTCGGCTGCTATCTTTTCAGATTGGCAGCGGAGCCGAGAGCTCCTTTCAGGGACCTTAGGGTGCCAACTTCATACTCACTTTGAGGGCTTGACTTTAGGTCCTAGCCTTGCTCCGGCTGACCGCGATGGCACTGCTGGAGAGCCTAACATGGCAGAAGTTCATGGAAGTTTCCGAGAGCGAATCTACTGAAGGCAAGTACGGAATCCCACGTTACGATGGTTCCGTCCACCAGCTCCAAGAGTACAGCTTTCGTGTGAAGATGAAGGAGCTGAAAGAAAAGAACCTGGACGAGAGCGAGCGCAAGAAACTTGGGCCGCTGGGCTTGCGGCTCATAGAAGGCCTTCGGGGGCCTGCCCTGCACATAGCGCAGAGCATGGATATGGAAACGCTGGCGTCGTCGAAGGGGCCCGGCTTGCTTGTTCAGCAGCTTATGAACTCGCTTCGGCCCCGTCGTCAGCAGGAAGCCCGCGAGTTGTACATGGCAGGCGCCCGCGAGAACGGCATCCTCTCGAGGCAATTCGGGGAACCCATGTCGGTCTACGTCCTCAGGAGGAAGACCTGGTGGGGGATGCTTTCGGATTTGGATGATGAGATAAAACTCCCCGACGTTATCCTCGCCGAACAGATCCTCACTAACTCCCGCATCAGTGAAGACCATATGCTCATGGTGAGGACCACCCTGAACCAGAAGATCACCGTCCAGGGCGTTTGCAACGAGCTGCTCAACCAGCATGGGCAGGCGCATGTGAAAGAAAAGAGGCAGCCGAGCTCCTGGAGGCAGTTTCCCAAAGGTTTCGGAGGCAAGCCGTCTTCCAAGGGCAAGGGCAAGCACGGCCACGGGTACTTCGTTGAGGACTACCCGGACGAGTCGGCCGAGGAGACCTACTACGGCTACTCCGAGAACACCGGCTGGGACGCTGCCAGTCAAAGCCTGGGAGGCTACGAGGATGATTTCGGCCAGCCGGCCGAGACCTACTTGTCGGAATATGAGGCAGCTGATGCCGACGACCCGGTTCTCCAGGCCTTCTCCGTGATGGCTTCTGAGGGTCTCGACGAGATGGCCGACCAGGAGATGGCGGAGTATGCAGCAGAGGTGCTTCAGATAGAGAGCGAGGCCTATTTTCTACGACAGCAAGCACACGGAAAAGGCCACTCCGGCTTCTCTGGTGGATCGCCGGGGAAGCGCTACGAGGTCAGAGGCGAGCTGTCCATCGAAGAGAGAAAAGCCAGAGTCTCGGCTTTGAAAGCCAAGACCAGCTGCCGCCGATGCGGGCAACGAGGGCACTGGGCCAACGACCCACAGTGTCCCAAGGGCTCTGGGAAGTCGCCGCCACGGAAAGGAGCACCCTCTTCTTCCTCGACTTCCTCGGGCAAGGGCGGCAGGGCAAAAAGCGCGGGCCGTTCCACGACCAAAGCCAGGCCGGTGTACTTTGCAGTTCGAGACGACACTCCCGGCAACCCGGCCGCGATGATGGCGTATCGCGGTGAGTTCTCGCAGGTCCCTCCGCCTTCGCAATTGGATGATGCAAGGCCGGCGGCAGCTCCGGCTCAGAGCTCGGGCCAGGCATCCTCTTTGGATGGCGTGGCTCCACCTACTTTGGCTTCTTTGCTTTCCTGGACCGGACCAAAGGCAGCCGCCACGGCAACAATGGTGTCGCCAGCGCCCTTTGCTGCTTTGCCGCCGAGCTCTACCACTTCGGGTTCACCGGCGGCGGCCCCTTTGCCGGCTTCTACTTCAGCGGTGCCACCTACGACACAACCAGCGCCTACGGTGACTTCCCTGGTTCCTGCCGCTTCGGAGCTGGCAGCCAGCACCACCAACCGGAGTTGGTCAGTGGTTGAGGCCATCGACCCGGACAGCCAGATGTTGATGGAAGCCTTGAGGGCCTCGAGCGACGTTGTGATCGAACAGATGCTGCAGTCAGTTCGGGAAATGGATGTTACCGAGCCGACGGGTGAGCCGGTGCCGGCGATCACCCAGGGACCCATGCAGGAGATAGTGCCGGCGGCTGTTCCGATGATTCCGGCTGTGCCGTCTTCTTCCGGAATGACCTCTCCTGTTTCCTTGACGCCGCCGCCCTCTCCTAAGACAACGGCCCCGACACCTAAGGCCCCAGGTGCTTCCGAGAAGGTTTGTACTCACTCCCGAACGACCACAAAGGGGACCAACCAGCACTACCACCTGAAGACGTGTAAGGACTGCGGCAAGGTGCTGGAGCGCGAGAAGAAACAGCCTTCTGCTAAAGCCGCTCCGGGGTCTGCCTCGTCGGACACTGTCTATCCCAAGAAGCCCGAGGACTGCAAGCACGAGAACGTCACCAAGCAGGGCACCAACCATCATGTGTGGAAGTGGTTTTGCAAGGACTGCGGCCTCAGCCGCTCCGGGCGACAGGAGCACGACCAAACGGTCCCGGCACCTCCGATGGCGTATCCGATCGGCGTCTCCGGCTCCCATGCTCAGCAGATCATGGACTTAGCCGCTACAGTGTTTCAGGTGCAAGAGAGCGGGGGAATGCCGGTGCCGGTGGAACGTCTCAACGACATTGTGAACAACTGCACCCGTGTCTACTTGCAGCGGCTGTCGGCGACTCTTGCGTTTCCAAGCCAGACGGCGCCACCCACGGCCGGAGGAACGGCTAAGGCGGCAACTCCTACACCACAAGCTCAGGTAGCACCGTCGACTGCGACAGCCGCCGCTCCGGCCGCGAATCCCCTTCCTCACGGCATGGATGATGATACTGTGCTGCACTCGGGCAAGCATAAGGGGCGCACCTACCGCGAGGTCTATGAGAACTTCCCTGACTATTGCGCATGGATCCTCAGCCAGGGTGGCACTCTGCAAGCTCATTCTTTGCAGAACTTTTCCCGTTACTTGCTCGCTCGCCGCGGCCGAGAACACCAAAGCCGAGCTACAGCCAATATGGCGGTCGACGATGTGCCCTCGGAGGACTGCCTTCTGGCCGTGCTGGACACCGGGTGCAACCAAACATGCCACGGCGCTCGATGGATGAAGTCCTACATGGAGGCGTGTGGTTTGGAGTTCGTCCCTCTCGAGCCAGCCCAAGGCTCCAGCCTCAAGGGGATCGGTGGCCGCGTCAGGGCTCTGGGAAAACGCGAGCTCCACATTTGCCTCCAGCTCTCCGATGGCACCCTGGCCAAGGGCACGGTGACTTCCACAGAGCTTGAAGAGTCCGAGGCCCCGCTTCTGCTGAGCTATGGTGCTCAAAAGCAATTGGGCATGGTCATCGACGCGGAGAGGAACACCGTCTTCAGCAAGCTCTTCCGGCAGGAGATGGAGGTGATCGATCGTGATGGCCTACCGGCGCTCCGGCTTCTACCTCTTCTGGACGAGGAGCCTTCTCATTTTGCCATGTCGGCGGAAGCGACCGAGCCACCACAGCCAACGGCCACGGAGGAAGAGGAGGAGAGCGATTACTGGGAACAGCTCGGAGACGTTCTTGTTCGGGTACATGTGCGGCCAAGGAACTATCTCTACGACCCCGTCCGGGAGCCCAGCGACGACAAGGACTACGACCACCAGCTGCCTGATTACCCTTTTCGGCGAACCGTGGCAATCAACACCATCACCGGTGAGAAGGTGGAGTTTCAGGACCATTGGCAAAAGCAAGCGGAGATAGAGGATGTAACTGAGGAGATCGGCGGCCAATGGCATGGGCAAACCTTCTTCTACAAGTCCCTGGGCACGTTCCACCGCGATGGATCTCTGGAACCTGAGTTTCCAAGCCTTGCCCACGCCAAGTTTGATGAAGAGCGGCCGGCAAGCCTCTCCAAGGGACAAAAGAGGCAGATCGAGGACCACAGCCAGGGGGTCAAGCGGTTGGACACCGCCCTTTGGCACCAGCTTGGCCGCCAGTCTCAGCGGCATCGAGTTCGCGGTTTGCTCCCTCGGGGCTGTCGGTGCTTCCTCTTGGAGATCTTCGCAGGCGCTGCCGCCATGACTGCGGCAGCCGTGGGCTGGGGAATGCCGGTGGCAGCCCCTATCGACCTTGAACTGGACCAGGGCAACCTCCTCAACCCAGCCGTGCGTGACAAGATTTGGGAACGTGTTGAGGCCGAGGACCCTTACATCACCGTGGTGTCACCTACTACTATGCCCTGGAGCCATTGGCCGAACATTGACCTCACGAACAACAACCCGATTGTACACAAAGTGCTGGCCGAGCGGCGGTTGTGGTATCCTGTGGTGGATTGGGTGGCTCGTCTTGTTAGGCGTCGTCACGAGCTCGGCCGGCAGGTGATTGTGGAAAGTCCCTGGTGGGGCCTGTTCTGGAAGCTTCGCTGTATCGAACGTCTGACCCAGGAGGAGCACCCAGCCACGGGGCAGAGCATGGACGTTCTTTACCTCGACCACTCCAAGTATGAGCGCGGCGGTGCTGGAAGGAGGCCTAGCACCCGTTTGTCTGGGATCTTGACTGCCTCTGAGAAGATAAAGGGCGTATTGGGTCGAGTTTGTGGACCAGGCCCGGCGGCTACCGGATCGCGGCCTCACCACCGGCATGTTGGCGGCATCTCCTCTCCTTGGGCGACTACCTTGTGCGATTCCCTGGTGGAGGCCGCCTACGAAGAACTAGTCTCGTTGAGTTCCTCTGTGGTGTTTGCGGCAGAGGACGAGGCTGAGGAGCACGAGGAGTTCGGCCCGATCGACGCGATCAATCAATCCGAGGACGAAGGTGACCTTCTGCCACCTCCGGTGTCCACTGAGGAAGTTCGTCGGGAAGAAGGTCTCGAAGAAGATCAAGAAGCCGGGCAGCCAGAGTTCGAAAAGGAACGCAGGCGCAAGTGGCTCCTTTTGGAAAGGCCGAAGCGTCTGGCCTTGAGGCGGCTCCACCAGATGACCGGCCACGCCTCCAATGAAGCTATGGCACGCATGAAGCCCGATCCTCCAAGAGCTGTGGCTGAACCGCCACCCTTTCGCTTCAACCACCAGGTTGGTTGTGACGCTTTCGAGGTTGTGGATGCCAAGGGGGAACGGCACACTATCCTTTCGTTGGTCGACGAGGGAACTAAGTTCCATGTGGCCGGCCGCGTGTCAGCCGGCGGCACACCATCCTCCAAGGCATGCGCTGATTTCCTGAATCATGCCTGGCTGGCCTGGGCCGGTCCACCCAAGTTGTTCAAGTGCGACCAAGGCGTTCACAACAAAGGCAAGGTGGCTTCTTTGCTGCGCTCTCTTGGCGTAGAGATCAAGCAGGCGGGCGTCAAGGCACCGTGGCAGGTGGGCCGTGTCGAGCGGCATGGGGGCATCCTGAAGCAGATGGTCAAGCGAGTCATTTCGCAACACCATGTGAGTGGAGAGTTCGCTGTGAGTGCTGTTGTGTCCCAGTGTGCTGCCACAAAGAACTCTTCGTACCTGCACGAAGGCTACGTTCCGGCCCAGTGGGTCCTCGGAAAGATTCCTTCCGATGTGACTTCCTTGTTGTCGGAGGCGGCCGGGACCCAACTCGGCATCCACCAGATGATCGATGACCCTCAGGACGAGTTTGGTCAGCGACTGCTCACGCGCCAATGGGCCAAGGAGGCTTTTGTCTATGTTGACACCAGCCAAAGGATTCGGAAGGCTATGCTTCGCCAAAGCCATCCGATAAGAGGGCCCTATCAAACCGGCGACCTGGTGAACTACTTCCGGCGAGGTCGATGGTTTGGGCCAGCCAGGGTCCTGTCCAATGAGGGGAAGAGTTCCTTGTGGTTGGTCCACTCCGGGATGACGGTGCTGATCTCGGACACTTGTTGCAGACCGGCGACCGTTGAGGATATCCGTCGGAAGCAGGCATTGGAACTTCGACCAGGGTGGCCTTCTAATCGCCCAAAGCGGAAGTTTCGAGACACCTTCGAGGACGATCTGGAGAACCTTCCCTTCTCCGGCGATCTGCCAGAAGAGGAGGACGAGGCGCCCAATCAGTTCTTTGACTTCGTGGGCGAACTTCCCTCCGGTTCTACATCCTCGGGGGCCCCAGCCATGCTACCTGCACTTGCTCCACCACAACCTGCTTTGCCTGCTGAATCGATGGAGATGGAAGCGCCAAGTCCCGGCGAATCTGTGCTGGACATGCCAGGGGATCTGCCAGAACGACAAGTCACACAACCAGAGCAGGAGCCCCACGAGGTCGAGACCAGTGACGCAGCCGAGGCTTCACTACCAACAGAAAATCCAGCTTCGACTTCTACTTCCGGGGGGTCCTTGCTAGACGAAGCAATGACGCAGCCAGCTTCACTACCAGCAGAAAATCCATCTTCGACTTCTACTTCTGGGGGGCCTTTGGTGACGCAGCTGCAATCAGCACTCCGGCGATCCGTGGATCAAGTTGATGGTCACATCCGGTCTCGCTCCCCTTCTCGGGCTCCGGCCGCTCCACCAGGCTTAGGTCACTTGGCTTCTGCTCCCGAGCACCGCAATGTGATAGCCGAGCGCAAGTTGGCACAGGCAACCACGGCGCAGAAGAAAGTGCATGCCTTCCTTGCGCAACGGGGCGAGAAGAAGTACCGCAAGAAGGTTCAAAAGCAAGGAAAAGGGCGTGAGATCATGTATCAGCATGCCAGTGAAGAAGTCAAGAAGCAGCTCGACGAGACTCGGCGCAAGGAGTGGGACAATTGGAAGGGCTACTCCAACATGCGCAAGATCACGCCGCAGGAGCTCGAGGCCATGAAGAAGGAGAACCCTAACCTCCGAGTGATCGCTACCAGATGGGTGGATATCGACAAGGCCGAGAAGGGCGAACAGCCAAAGTACAAGAGTCGCTTTGTTGTCCGAGGCGACCTGGAGGACTCGACCGACATGAGGACGGACAGTCCCACCGGATCTCAGGTGGGCATGGGCCTCGTGATCAGCTATGCCGCGGCGACCCGGAAGAACTTGAACTCCGGCGACATCTCGGCAGCGTTCCTCCAGGGATCTGTTCTGGACCGCCAGTTGGTGCTTCGGATGCCAAAAGGGCAAGCACCCTACGATATGGAGGAAGGAGACTTGATCGTGGTATCCACCACGGTATACGGCACCAAGGATGCACCACGAGGTTGGTTCAAGAACTTAGACAACACCTTGCTCACCGAAGGACTTCGGCGAGTTCCCCTGGAGACCGGCCTCTACGTACTTAACGAGTACGATGAGCAGGGCGATCCATGCGTCGGCGGGCTCCTCATGATCCATGTGGATGATCTGTTGTGGGCCGCCGGCACAAAAATGGATTCCATCATGGAGCGTGTCAAAGCCAAGTACTCCTTTGGCTCCCTGGACACCAATGTCTTCCGCTATTGCGGAAGAATGATAGAGCAGACACAGGCCGGTGTGAAGGTGACATGCCCCGAACTCATCACTCGAGTTCGGCCGATCCAGCTCGAACCTCGACGACGAGGGCAACGGGAGTCTCCGGCGACTGAGTCGGAGAAAAGCCAACTCCGATCTGTGATAGGGTCCCTGTCGTGGCTCGCACGGGTCTGTCGACCGGACCTTTCTTACGGGGTCGCCAAGCTCCAGGTGTCGATGACCAAGCCATGTGTGCAAGATTTGCTGGACGCCAACGCCCTCGTGAAGTACGCAGGGCGCACCAAGGACGAGGGCATCTTCTACGAGGCCGGGGCTCTGGACTTTAAGTCGGCAGTGATCATCGCCATTCAAGACGCATCGTACGCCGCAGATTTTGATCGAAGTACCAGCGGCGACAAGATGGGGTACCGGAGCCAGTCCGGGCGTCTTCTTTGTTTGGCGGACAAGAGCTACGCCACCACTCTGGATGGCACTTTGTATCCAGTGGAATGGCACTCTACGGTGATCCGCCGAGTGTGCAAATCAACCCTACAGGCCGAAGCGCTCTCGTTGCAATTGGGAGCCAATGAAGCAGAGCACCTCAGGGGAGTGCTTCATGGGTTGCTTGTTCCGATGGCGAAGAACAACGCTACGCAGTGGATGGTTGAAGCCCAAGACGGCCGACGAGTGGTCTGGGTAACAGACTGTTACTCGCTGCTCTCCCACCTCACCAACCCTACCGGGACGAGTGTGGCCGACAAGCGTCTGGCCATAGACCTTTGTTCACTACGGCAAGAACTTTGGAGAGCTGAAGGCGAGGAGGTCGGAGACCCTCTTAGCCGTGACCGTCCACCGGAGAGCCCAAGCACGCAACTCGTCTGGACCACCACCGACCGGATGGTGGCTGATTCACTCACGAAGAAAATCGTGGGACATGAGCCGATCCTTAGGCTCATGAAAGGCGAAAAGATTTGCCTCCAGCCCAATCCACACCAGAAAAGTAATAGGGGTGTGAAAGCGAGCTCTGAAGAGCCTGATGATCAGTAGTGTTTGCACTGCTGGTGTGGATGCGGCTGGCCGACTGCACTGTTGGCTCAAGCCAAGCGAGAAAAAGGCGTGAACCTTTTCAGATGCATTCGGCTGCTATCTTTTCAGATTGCATTTTTTTGGCAAAATATTATTTCCGCAAATCATAGAGTCAGGTCTAAGGGGCTTCACAAACCTACACGTGCACTATCTTGCACTTGCACTGCGCTGGCAATGATGCGACATAGACGCAGGACTTCCTCAAGCAGCAGCCTACGAATGATGATGAGGAGGAGGCTCGTCCAGCGTTTCACGCGTGCATTTTCGGATAACGGGCTGCCTTGGCCACACATCAAGATGTTGAGTCTGGGAAATCATGTCAAACTCGAGGTTTTGCGAGCACTGGAGCACGTGGATGAGTACGAGGAGCTCGAGGACCGCAGTTGCAGTACTGTTGCGCTTCCGAACTACATCGCAACTCAGTGTCCAAAGGACGAGGTCATGGCAGAAGTGGTGGATGGAGGTCTTGTTGAGCTAGCAGCTAAGAGATCGAACGCCTACGGTAAAGTGTACTGCAGCAATCGACGTCGAGCTCTTGCGGTAGTCCGTCGCAAGGCCCGACATGGTCTTATGGGGTCCTGCATCGCTGGAAGACGCTTTGCATCCGGCAAAGACCTCTGAGAACCGGCAGATCTGATGAATTTCCTTGTCCTGGTTCAAAAGCCACACTCGCCCCAAATGCTTTTCAAGGACATGTCTGTTTTTGCTGAGCACAAGGCACAGGGCTTTTTTCTATCTGCACTGCTCTCTGTTTTCGGAGACAAACCGCAGGCCCTGTTGCAGTCGCGAGGCAGGACGGATGCAGAGGACCCGCAAGTTTGCAAACGCATTGTGCGATCTGCGTCATTGACAGGATTTTTGCAAGGGCACGTGTCTTGATAGAGTGCTCATGGCACGGCAGGGCGACAGTGACTTTGACGATGGTCTAGATGAGTTGAATGGAGGCCCAATGGCGTGGTGGATATGCTTTTAGGCCTTACATGTAGCTGGGTGCACGCAACGGCTGGGGTTGATTCCCTACGACAAACAACTCCATGATACTTGATTTTTGTGAAGGATACACAGCAGGGGGTGCGAAAGGAAGCAATGTGCTGACCTCAGTTGTGAGCGAACATGTTGGTGCCCGGATTTGGCCAAGTGCCAAATCAGGCCAAGCCCAGAGACGAGGCGTGGTGGCGAAAGCTCGCATTCGACTCAATACATATCAGACACCTGCCGGTGCAGGATTTTGAGAGGTTTATGGCAGACCAGTATGGCGATGATGAGCTCTTGCCTGAGCAGCTCCATGAATAGGTGTTGTAGTGTGTGCCGCTTGAGTTCAGTTTGGTGTTTACGGGCGCCGTTCCTGCGCTGTCTGTTCTTGTCAAACGTGCAGGATAGGACCTCGAGATGAGGACCTTCTGCTTCATCTCCATCTTCGCTCAGCATGGTTCGGTCTTGCAGAGACCAGGATGACATCGAGGGGCAGATTGAACTGGACGACACGGTTCTGGATGAGTCCGCGAACTTCTGTCGATTTCACGCGATTTTCGGCTGCGTTCCTTCTGCTCGCAACAGAGGTACCTGAACGAGCAGAAGGCCGAGCAACAGGAGCAGCTCGCCGTAAAGCAACGGCCGCCGAGGGATTCGCTCAGAGTCGCGTTGAAGTGCGAGGGGCTGCGAGGGGAGCCGAGCTAAGGCTGATCTCACTCTACGAGCCGCAGCGAGGCTTCAAGGACAGAGCATCCCTGCCTCCCTGCTTCTTGGAGAGATTCCATTTTCTTGGGAAGGACGATGAGCCCCGTGTCATCGCCGAGACACGCGCCATCATCGAAAGGCATTACTTGGAGGATTGCTGTGGGGCTTGCCGTTCCTTTCTCCTGTACTTGTGGCCTCAGCCTAGGAGGAAAGTGAAGAAGACACGGAGTCTGGCGACGAAAGTGAAGACGAGTCGGGGCCATGTCTGTTGGCACACGTCCTCTTACACATGTTGTTTTTCAACACTGGAGCCGCCAGGTCTAGGACGTGGGATTGTGAGACGGTCCTCAGCACTCTGAGCAATCTCTCCAACCGACCAGGCAGAGATTGGGATTATTGCGGAGATGTGAGCAGAAAATATGCATGAAGCTCTCATCGCATCACATATCTCTCGGCATTTCAAGAAGCAGTCTAGTCAAGTACACTGCCAAATGTAACATCACAGTGCAGTATGGTGTAATATAGGATACTACAGTAAAGTGCTGTATAGTACAGTACAGCCTGGTATAGTCCAGCTCGGTCCAGCACAGTAAAGCGCAGTTGGGTATAGTATAAAACAGAATAATATAGTCTAGCATAGTATGATGTATATTGTAGCACAACATGCATCGAGTTTGGCATGCTCTGGCTGTGTATGTTTCATTGTAAATGCTCAAGTTTATCATGCTTTCATGCTGCCACCCTGGAACCGGGGCTCCCGTGAGACCTCAAGGGCCCCGTCGGGGCTGGCGATGCGTGTAGGGTGGATACGAACATGACCCTGCGCCTGGAAATCTCTTGAGAGATCACTCCTGGCCGAGGAACGGGCCAAGGTGAGGGGTCATGATCCATCGGCTAAGCCTTTCCATTCCCGAAGCAAATCCTCGAGATGAGCTTTGCCAGCCAGGGTGCGAGCACGGGTTGGAAGTGCGTGGTGAGAATGAGTGTGAGTCCGAGCCCTCCTGAAGCTAGTGCTGTAACATGTATAGTATAGTACAGTATAGTATAGCATAGTACAATACAACATAGTATTGCATTATAGTATTGCATAGTACGATACAGTGTTGTATAGGAGAGTATAGTATAGTGCAGCTTAGCACAGTATGCTATGGTATACCATCATTTGGTACAGTATAGTATAGTACAGCGTCATACAGCATAATACAGTACAGCAATAGGTTCCATGTATTACTATAGAACTTTATATTTTAATATGCTGTGGTATCTGTGATGTCAGATGATAACACGTTTTGCCAAGCCTATCAGACCATCTCATATCGAATCAAATCATTTAGTGTGATACACAGCCATGTGAAACTGCATATAGTCATAATGCAATCGAAGATCATATCGCATAGCATTTTGCAGTAGGTTAACACAATATTACAATGGAACATAAGATAACATATAATGTATCGGACAATGCGTATAAAAAGTAATACAGGCCGTATGAAACAAGATCTTTCAACGTAATGCAACGGACTGACGTGCGTAGAATATGATATAATGCAACGGAGCATAGCATGAGCATCAGATACGGCAGTGCGATGTAATGTAGCGTTATCTACCATAAGCCAGCATAGCCGGTCATAGTGAATATCGTGCACGGTGGTGTACACTGCAACAGTATCGAGTATCGTGCGATGTTACGCTTCATTTCGTGGTTCGTTCGGGAATTTTCGAAGGTCTTTTCGCCACACCTGTGGCTGGCCGGGAAGTTGCTGGCTTTTTTGGCGAGATTTCGAGTCTTGCGTTGGCCCCTTTTGACAAGGCTCCGGTAGGAGAAACGGGTCTCTTCTGATTATGGCGGCAGGGTCTTACTTTTTGATTGCTTCCGGTGAGGCCGACGTTGGCTTCAATCTGGTTGTCCGCACTCTTTGCACATCTTGGGCATCTGCATTCTCTTCAATGCAATTTCTTACCTGGGCATTCGTGCATTGGAATGTCCGGGGATTCGGTGGAAACATGGCACCTCTTTCGTGCATTCGATCTCCAGGCTAGTTTGGATTCGGCAGCCACATTGGACCCCGTTTCTGCCTTGCTTGTCGTGCTCGGCCGATGAGCCGCCCCTTCGAGAGTGGCTTTTGCTAGAAGAAGCTCTCAGGGCAAAGAAACCTACTACGGGTGTTTACTACCGTCATTTGGGTGCTTCTTCTTTTCCTGGCAGCTCTCGACATTAACATATCAGATTGCCTTTTTTCTGTCCGTCCCAGTTCTGTGTCACCAGCCCTGTCCATTATGGAGCTTTCATCTCAGCCCGTGGCTCTCAAGTAACATGTCATTGCTCTGCGTGACACTGTGTCACATACTCAGGTTGGGTTGCATCATAGACTGTCACACCGTAAAGCATAATGTTACATTACGTTATAGAGTACTGCAAAATGTTGCACTATGTCGTATAACCTGGTATAACATTCTGTTATATTCTACGACCGAAATCCTCCTGCTGCTTTTTGGAGCCTCCTCTTTTGTGATGATGTTAAGATGCAAGTAGCAAGGCCTGTAACGCCACTGAAATTCTTGACATTACAGAACAGTACCAACTAAAATGCTACTGCGTGCTTGGCGCAGCTCTGCCACTATTGCCAATATCTTGTCTGTCTGCTTCCAAATCTACTGTACTACGATCACTGTTTTGCACATGAGTACCGTTGACGATATCATCGTTACAACGCTAGTGTGTTTCGTACCAGCAATTACTAGTATCATACTGTGATGGGTAGTGCCGATGTGAGCTTTGTTTTCATAGTACCCATTTGCTATATATGGGTAATGGAGTAGCATTGCAAATCTGATCACGGAGGCGATCCTTTCTAGCAATGTTTGTACTGCAACGGATGTTAGCAGCTACAGTAGCACTCATAGACTCATAGAGACAAAACATGTGGCGACTGTGAATGTTCTTAACCACACATGTGGTCTTAGCGTAATCAGTATCTGTTGTGATGGGGTACTTTCGCTTCTCGCGACATTGCTGACAGTGCTGGGGCTGCAGCGACTGTTTTGCAATGAGTATTGTTACCAAAATAGATTTCTAAACTTTCGTTTGGTCATGGACACCTGTCATGTCACCACTACTATGTGAAGTTAAGTTGCTCCAAGTTTCCGTCTCACGAACAGAACTTGCAACGTGACACGGTACAACACAAAAACACTGCTAACACTTAGGATGACTCGCTTCCTCAAGTTCAAGTTTCCGAGAAGTCGTGTATAAGTTGCTCAAGCATTCTGCAAGCACTCAAAACTTTCGAGAGTCGAACGAGTGCCAAATTCCTAATCTAAAAACCGTAACCTCAAAAACCAGGAGCAGTAACGAAGGTTGTCTGCATGACCTGAAAAGTTTAGAGTTTTTGGATTGTGGGCATTGTCTTGCTTTTCGAGTCTTACGTACATACGGGACTGGCGGAAGCACAATTGCCGCAGGAAAGAATGCAAGGAAATGTGACGAGAGCACGACGAGGCCTAACAGAGTCCGCGAGACACGGAGGCGGCTGTGGCGAGAGCACGATTCCGTTTAACAGCGGCAGCCCACTATGTCTCGTCGCCACCTCGCCCATGGCGAGATGATCGTGTAACTATGCTCCCGTCTCAGGCTTCATTTTTACGAAGGCAAAGCTGAGTGAAAGGATGTGCATTGTACTTCATAGAGCACGAGCTCAGTCAGCAGGAAACGGGTGGATTGCCGCCCGACTTTGCGCGAACAATCAAACACCATCTCGCAAAAGCCAGTGCTGGGCATTTGCTTTCAAAAGAGATCTGTACGTCAATGCTTACAGAATCAGACAACTCGGAGGTGTGGCTCTTTCCATTTATGTTTGTTCGATATGTGTGGCTGTTACCCTACAGTACATTGCATCCAGGGGCAGCGGGAGTTAGTACGAAAGACAGAAACAGTCAAGCGAAAGGTGCCAAGCTGGCAGCTCTGATCCACAGACACATGCGTGCTTTGACTGAACCGGAGATGTCGACAGGAAGTGCTTTCGACCGGGAAGTTGAACAACGTAAAGAGCACAGTGCAATTCAACCCAACATAGAATAGCTCGGCAATCACCGCTCATCACATTGCTGATGTCGAGGGGGATCTGTGCTCCAGCCGTCAAACATAGACATAGGCTCCCGGGGAATATAGAGCTCCTTTCGCATGTGAGGATCTCATGTACCTGTCATTGCTGCATTCTTCATGTCAAGATCTTGACTGTTGCAGAGAAAGGCAGGATTGGCAGACTGAAGATCGTCAAGGAGAAGCCACAGCCACTGAATCCTGTCAAAGAAGCTGAAGGCGCCTTGAGCCTGCTCGAGCATTGCCCTGTGCATGCCAAGCTCATTCGACCAGGAAAGGATGACGAAGCTGAGGCGAGCTCATCGGGGCATGATATGCCTCACTTGCATCGGTAGCACTTTGGCCAAGGACGTGGTGGAGCTGCCTGATGTGACCTCCTGAGGGGCCTGCACCAGCCTGGATGCACGTGGACAGGTTGGCGCGGCTCAGCAGGCGAACGGATGGAAGCGCAGCCGAGGTGGTCACGACTCGCGAGAAGGGCGAAACCGCAGAAGAGAAGAGGGCTCGAAAGGCTTCTGTGAAGGCGCAAGAGCAAACTCTGGTCATGGTATGCTGGTATAGCATTCGTTTCGTCTGAAGGACCCAGTCCCTTTGCTCACCCTGCCAGGAGATGAGACGGATCTGTAGACAAATGAAGAAAGAAAGCTCATACCTTATTCACCGAGGACCCCGTTTGATTGCCGATTTGCCGATGTTGAATCAAGGCAAAGACATGTACAAGAAAGAGGCTGCAAAGTTGCCAGGCTTGGGAGAAGGGTTCCGCCTCGCAACACAAACGACCTTCACCGTGTAAGTGCCAGGCCAAGGTGGAGCTGACCTTCGGCAGAAAACGCGAACCGTGAAGTTCTGACCTCGTTGGGCTACAGAGCGAGAGTGGAGAGGAGGAGAGGAGAAAACGCGAACCAAGATTTCCGAGGTACTGAGCCATGGGAGTTGGCAGTCACGAGCTGGCACTGTTGTACACATTGAAGAAGCACTCCAAAGGAGGCTTGAGACCCCTGCTGGAGTTGTTTCGTCTCAAAGCTGCTTACTAGAGACTTCGGGCTGTTTCTAGTGCAAGCCACTCTAAGACTCAACGATGATCTATCATTATCGATGCTGGAAACCTCGGGTGGCAGCTTTGGGTGCAGGCCAGGCTGTCAGGTTCGGTCTTCATGCATCATCTGTTTCACAGGCTGAAGAGACAAGCCTCTCTAGCCCAGAGCACTCGATCAGCCTCCGGACGGATTGCATTTGCCATCAAAGGCTTCTCCGAATCGGTGAGATGCTGACCCGCACGTGTTACATCATTCCAAGGCCTGCGTTCATGTCTGTCGCCCTTTCGGTAATGGAAACCGACAGCTCTTCTTCGACTGTGTGGATTCATTATTCAGCAACATCTAAGAGCCGAGGTGGTTAATGAAGCATGGAGGGCCCGGAGAATGCACAGCCTGGTGCTTTTACATTCCGTCCTTGGCGTAAGAAGGAGCCTGGAGAGCCATGGCTGTGACTTCACCTGGCCCGGCTCAAGTCGAACCGTCCTGTTCGGCTCTTCGGGCGGTGCTTGTGTCATGTCTCTGATAGCCACGCCGGCCAGTTATGTCGCCTTCATCATTGCTCTGTGGCTTGTGACGGTCATAAGGAGAAGCATGTAGGCTACCAGCAGCTGCAAAGCTCTGCACAAATCGAACTTGTGTCGCTTCGTCAGGAAGCAGCAGCGATCATCTCTCGTCGGCAACGTTCGTTTGCCAAGGTGCAGCGATGCGCAGAGGTGGGACCGACTTTGTAGAAAGCTTGCACTTTGCACTGCAGGATGGGCGACAGCGACCGTCGACTCCTCTGGCAAGTCACTCTTGCTCTCAGGCTCTGTCCGTTTGGCCTGTGTTCCTTGTTCCGAAAGGTTCGATGGTCTTACATGGTCGTGGGAAGGCGTGCCGACTTCGAGTTCCCGTCGCAGTGTCACTTCTTTTTAATGTCGCGAGGTGGCTTGGCTGGCGCTTTTGCAGCCGCTGCATTGCCGGCAAGGCCGCCCCCCCACGCTTGTATTGCAGAGTTTTGCAGAAACTGTTAGCGTGCCCTTTCAGGTTTCGCTCAGTGAGGACGAGACTGCGCGGGCGTGGGTTTGGAGGCATGGCTTTCTTAATCCACTTTTTCTTCTCAGCCTGCATTCTACAAACAGGTGAAGCACCAACAGCCGCTTCAAAGACTCAAAGCTCCACAAAGGCTAGCTGCCATGATACACCACGTGCCGATACAACGGGCAATTGTCACCACGACTTCGCGGAAGGACTTTGCAATGTCGGAGTCGAAGGTGGGCAGATTCAACCAGCAGGCGCGTGCCATCAACCGTCGCGTTCAGCCTCTTGTACTACAGCCGGTAACCAGTGTTATCAGCCGCGTGTCGGATGTTCGGGAAAGTTTGGCTTGCGACTAAAGGCGACTACAGTTGGGAGAAAAACGGTCTTCGATTTTTTTGCTTCTGTAAAAATGGAGCAGATAGAAGATGTTAGAAGACGTTGGAAGACTCCATTTCCAGGTCTTGGCCTCCATCGATGGTTGGTGCGACGAGCTCCTTGCGGGCCTCCGTGACCACGGTGCGCGCAGCTCTTGTGATCTGCAGCTGGCGCTACGCCGCCACGCAGGCCTCCAGAGTCTTTTTGGGAGCCTGTTTTGCCAGGGTGGTGGGCCTCCTCCTCGCCGGTCCTCCCGGAGCCGCTCCTGCGGGCCATGCGCCAGAGCCCAAGAAGCCGAGCCGGAGCCGCCTCGATGATCCTCTTCTGCACCGACTGTGATGCGATGCAGGAGAGGAGGTGGAGGATCTCTGGAACAACGGCGACTTCATCCAGTCACAGTCAGTTCTGGGCGGAAGCTCCTCGGTGCAAGTCTGTGATGTTTGCGCCTACTGGAAGCACGTGGAAACCTGCCGGCAGCCATCTACTACGACAAGAAGCACGTGTTTGCCACGGAGATCAAAAGCGAGAAGTACACAGTTTCTCCGCGTGCGCCGACTGTCTCTTTTAACCACACCAACTGCATCTTGATTACGTGTGAGACGTACGCAAGGTATGTGGCATTACACTGTGACCTTGACGCGGGAACTGGTCAAACGGGTGACATGTCCGAGTGCATCGGTTGATACCCGGGTCTGCGTTCTTTCTGTGTCATGATCTGCATAAGATTTCTCCCCTTACGATCATCAAAGATGAATGCGTATGCTGAAGCGAAAACTGTAGGTCAACTTGTGGAGATTGGCCAGGTAGCCCCTAGATACCAGCATCCTGTGGGGGTCAGTCGTAGCAGCATGGAGAGCACCAGGTGAACGCAGCTTTTCCAGATATGGGTTTGAGCGACAAGTTCATTGGCAACAAGCTCGAGCCTAAGCAAGAGAGGCATGCAAATATCTGCAGGTGCATGTGACTGTGTTCGCATCTTCTGCATTTCGTCGGAGCTGACGCTCACCCTCACCCTCACGCTCAACGCTCACTCTCACTCTCGAGCTCACGCTCACCCGCCCTCGCACTCTCACTCTCACCCTCACTGTCATTCTCACGCTCACGCGCCCTCTCCCGCTCTCACACTCACACTCACACTCACGCTCACGCTCACACTCACACTCACTCTCACACACTCACACTCACACTCACACTCGCACTCGCACTCGCACTCGCACTCACACTCACACTCACACTCACACTCACACTCACACTCACACTCACACTCTCTCTCACTCTCTCTCTCTCGCTCTCTCTCTCGCTCTCTCTCGCTCTCTCTCTCTCTCTCTCTTGTCTCTCTCCCTCTCTCTCTCTGTCTCTCTCTCTTTCTATCTGTTTCTCTCTCCTTTTTTTTTTTCTCTCTCTCTCTCTCTCTCTCTCTTTCTCTCTCTCTGTCTCTCTCTCTCTCTCTCTGTCTGTCTGTCCTTGTCTCATCGTAATCCCTGAGGCACTTCTTAGCAGGTCGAAATCATCGCTACTTATGCTGACAATGTAGGGGATTGTCGACAAGAATTTGGACAGCTTCTCCATTCCTTTGAGCCACACTTTCCGCTCTGCCACCGCAAACTCTCTCAGCTCTCTTCCTATGACTTTGTCTATCTACAGTATCCTCCACAAGGGCCAAAGCCTCATCCTGCAGCCATCGGTTGAAGGCTGTGACCCTTAAATAGGGCCGCAGCAACCCGCATGATGCCCACGCTGCAGCCTCCGGGGGGGATCCGCCTGGCCACGCCGTCTGCATCATGAGCATCATAGAGTCTTAGTTTCTCCTTCCGACGGCTTCCGGTAACTGCTTATCAGGTTAGAGGATCTGAATATACATTACAACTATGCAGCATTGCTGTCATGATTGGCTAGGCTATTTTATATTTTCCAGAGGTTAATGTCTAATATTCTTCAGTAAATACTCCTGAAAAAGTCGTCGAAGTCTGGGTGAACGGCTTAACACATCAATCAAACCTCAAAGGGATGTTGATTGTACATCAGACAAACATCAACTGAAAGATTTCTGGATGAAAGATGACACGGAACATGTATTGGTTGAGAGTTCAACGTTTCTGTGTGTTGTTTGAATACGGTGTGTTTTTGTGTATTTTGATAGTTGCACAATCTTTAAATCAATGACCAGTTTTTGAGATCTTATACGAATGCCAGCGACAACTTCCCTCTTTGCAGTTCAAGTTCCAGCGGGGTTGTAATTGTGATAGGTATGCATGCGATAAATAGTCCAGCTGTATTTTCGCCTGTCGCCTTATTGACTGTGTATAGAGGCTGTCGACTAGTGGGGAACATATACTTGCCGGAGATGCCAAGGTGGTGCAGGGCTTAATCCGCGCAGCTCTCATGTAACCTGATGTGGCCTTGATGTAAGCTGCAAAGTTTGCGATCGTGGTGTACGCAGTTGTCTTAGTTTTAGAGAGTAGTCTTTCAGTTCAGTGATCAAGGTTATCTTCCACACTTTGGAACTTGTCAATAGTTCGACGACGGCTAGCATCATTGAAGGGTTTGGTTGATGTTAATCCCAGCCCAGCTTCGCGGGACGAATTATGCGTGTATGTATAAATACATAATGTATGTATATATATATATACACAGTTGCTTGTATTTGTATACACACAATATGTACAGACATACTTGTATTTGTATCATCACATACGACCATTTGCATACATGTATATGCACACATGCACACACGCATATATATGTATATATACACGCATATTCATACATATGTATGTATGTATGTATGTATGTATATATATATACATATACACACACATATATACATATATGTATATTTATATCCATACAGGTTTGCACAGACACACACACACACATATATATATGTATGTATGTATGTATGTATATGTATATGTATGTGTATACATATATACATACATATACACGCACACTTCCGTACTTACACAAGTATGTACGTGCATCCATACACATACACGTACAAAAGCATAGCCTGCAGATATCTGCAGATCGGAGCCTAATACTCCGCTAGAGGATCATCACGATGTGACTGGGCATAGCGACCTCGGAGACGTTAATGCTGGGATGACAAAGTCTTTGCCATGCGGGTGCGAGTAACACATGGTGCATCGGATGGCTCGCTTGATTGTCTTAGTCCGACAAGGTTTCAGTATCGATCGAAGTTCAGAAAGCTCTGATTCGCAAGCAGCCAGAAGAGCGCTATTACGAATGTTCCCACATGTTGTCTTCATGACCGACGTTAGCTTCAGACGAAAGGCCCAAGATGCGATGCGACTTACTGCTTTTCATTACATTGTCAAGATTCCGAGTTTTCACGACATGTGCAGTCGTCCTGGATGTGCAATTATTGCGCGACTAACCAAAATCATCAACACGAGTTCCACCGCCTTACCAAAGAATCCAACAGAGGAGGGCTTGCATTTCCCAGCAAACCTGGACGCTTGAACGCAAATGGAAGGCGGCTGAGCACGGAGGTGACAACACGGCAAACCAGCTCAGTCCAGAAGATTAGTTGCAGAAGGCAGAACGGAAGATATACAGTCGTTTCAAATGACGGCATCGTCGTCGTTAGTTCGCAGTTCGGCTTCGCTTTCGAATCCCGTCGTTGAGACCGAGTTAGTTTGCTGGCCAAACGAAAACATCGCTCCATTCGGTCAACGGATGTGACCCATGATGCGCACAACCCCACAAGGCCGAAGTGGGAGTCTGTATGCTGCACGGAAGAAGCCATATTTTCATTTTTCCACTAGGCAGGATCGGCGAGCTGCGGGCTTGATCCAAGTGATTCATCGGTCTTAATCAAGCAAGATGAGACTTTTCTTGGATCCGGGGCCGGTTTGGGTCCACTGTTTTTTTTTTTCCTAGGTCTGGCCTGGTCTGGGGGGCCTTGCTAGGTCTGGTCCCATGGTCCCTTGGTCCCCTGGCCCTTTGGTCCTCTGGTCCTGGTCCCCTGGTCCTTTGGTCCTCCGGTCCCCTGGTCCCTGGTCCGCAACGCCAGAAGACAGAAGATTTGAAATTGGCATTTCGCACTATTCACACGCGAAACACGACCCTGCAAATTGTAGTGCTCCAATACCTTCATGCAATACACAAGCAAAACCAGACCCTGCGAATGCTAGTTCCCCATTAGCTTGATGAAAAACACAAACAATAAAAGACTCTGCAAATTGTAGTTCCCCAATAGCTTGATGCAAAACACAAACAAGGGGATAGGGGTAAATAAGGATCAAAATTAAATAAGGATCAAAAAAAATTAAATAAGGATCAAAAAAAATTAAACGGGTATCCGCGAAAGGAAGGGGAAAAAGGCAGGAAAGAAAGACAGAGAGAGAGAGAGAAGGAGAGAAAGAAGGAAAGAAAGAACGAAAGAAAGAAAGGAAGGAAGAAAGAAAGCAAGGAAAGAAAGAAAGAACGAAAGAAAGAACGAAATAAAGAAATAAAAAACAACGAAAGAAAGAACAGAAAGAAAGAAAGAAACAAAGAAAGAAAGAAAGCCATGCAAGAAATAGAGAAATAAGTAAATAAAGAAAGCTACAAGTAAAGAAAGAAAACAAAAATAGAGAACTAAGTAAATCTAAAGAGGACGAAAGAAAGGAAAACATAAAGAAAGAAAGATAGAACGAGAGAGAGAACGAAAGAACGAAAGCAAAAACGAAAGAAAGAACGAAAGCAAGAACGAAAGAAAGAACGAACCAAAGAAAGAACGAAATAAATCAAACCAGTTTGAGATGAACAAAGAAAGAACAACAGAAAGAAAAAAAAGAAATGAGCGAGCGAAACAAAGAAATAAGTCCAGAATAAAAAAGCAAAGTTGGAAAAGACGAAAGAGAAAGAATATGAAAGAATCACAGAAACAAAGATACAAGCAACAGGATACTACATAGTCCAATCGAATTTACCATAATATCGTAATGTACCGTAACATAATATAACATAATGTAACCTAATGTTATAAAATATACTACATATTATGTTGTAAATATACACACTGTATTGTACTATGTTACAATGTACTACACTATAAACTAAGATGTTGTTTTGTTCTATGTCATCTTCTGTTATATTGTATTGTTGTATTCTTAGTAACATGCTATTATATGCTATAAGAAGCAAGGTTCTGTTATGTCAGAAAATGTCACACCATTTTTGTGTTGTCGAACCATCTTATGTCGTTCTTCTGGTTTGCTATGTTATATATATATATATATTAGGTTAGAATGCTAACGGAAGAAGAGACACGAACAGGCACGGAAGAACAAAACACCCGCCACCGCGCTTTTCGAGACGTGCAAGCTTGATTCAAAGAGTGTTTTCGAAGCCCATCATGTGAACGTTGTCTCTGCAAATGGGGGGGGCTGCGCCCCCCCCAACCCCCCCGCTGTTTTAAGCCGTGCAAGGTTGCTTTGAAGCATATGCCTTTGTTTGAAACCCAGCAAATGAGGGCGTCTCCGCCCTTGTAGATACATGCTGAACCAGAATCGCCAAATGAGGGGCGTGTTTAAGATAGATGATGAAGCGGAATACCAGCAACAGCTACAACAGGAAATCCGTCCTAAATGTGAAATTGTAAGGAAAATTTGATTTTCCCGAGGAACAACCATATGTTGTCCTTCTGAAAACCTGAAGAAATGACACGAACGCCATAGGTAATAGGAAAATGGGCTTTTCCTACGAAAAATCAAGGAAAACTTAGGGAAATACCACGGAATCCGCAGGAATATCGTGTTTTCCAGAGGAAAAACCAAACAGATCCTAAGGAAACAAAAGAACATCCCTAGGAAAACAGTGTTTTCCCCTGGAAAAATTCAGGAATTGCTGTATTTTAAATGATTTTTTTTGATCCTTATTTTAATTTTTTTTTGATGCCTCTGCCCCAGGAATTGCTGTATTTTGAGTGATTTAGTTTTTTTTGATCCTTATTTTAATTTTTTTTGATCTTTCCATTTATTATTTTTTGGATCCTTATTAATTTTTTTTGATCCCTCACCCCAAACAAGGCCGACCCCGCAAATTGTAGTTCCCCCATTAGCTTGATGCAAAACACAAGCACAAGAACACACCGCAAATTGTAGTTCCCTAGTGGCTTCATGCAAAAGACAAGCAGATGAACACACCGCAAATTCTAGTTCCCTAATAGCTTCACGCAGAACACAAGCAGAAGAAGACCCTGCGAATTGTAGTTCCCCAATAGCTTGATGCAAAACACAAGCAACACCGATCCCTGCAAATGCGAACCCCCCAATAGCTTCGTGCAAAACACAAAGAAAACCGAACCTTAGAGCAACAACAAGAACACCAGCAACACCAGCAACAACAACAACAACAAGAACAACTACCACGACGGCAACGACGAGGACGAGGACGAGGACGACGACGACGATGACCTAGATGTCGACAACGACACCAAAAAACAACGCCAGAAGACAGAAGATTTGAAATTGCATTTCGCACTATTCACACGCGAAACACGACCCTGCAAATTGTAGTGCTCCAATACCTTCATGCAATACACAAGCAAAACCAGACCCTGCGAATGCTAGTTCCCCATTAGCTTGATGAAAACACAAACAATAAAAGACTCTGCAAATTGTAGTTCCCCAATAGCTTGATGCAAAACACAAACAAGGCCGACCCCGCAAATTGTAGTTCCCCCATTAGCTTGATGCAAAACACAAGCACAAGAACACACCGCAAATTGTAGTTCCCTAGTGGCTTCATGCAAAAGACAAGCAGATGAACACACCGCAAATTCTAGTTCCCTAATAGCTTCAAGCAGAACACAAGCAGAAGAAGACCCTGCGAATTGTAGTTCCCCAATAGCTTGATGCAAAACACAAGCAACACCGATCCCTGCAAATGCGAACCCCCCAATAGCTTCATGCAAAACACAAAGAAAACCGAACCCTACAGCAACAACAAGAACACCAGCAACAGCAACAACAACAACAAGAACAACTACCACGACGGCAACGACGAGGACGAGGACGAGGACGACGACGACGATGACCTAGATGTCGACAACGACACCAAAAAACAACGCCAGAAGACAGAAGATTTGAAATTGGCATTTCGCACTATTCACACGCGAAACACGACCCTGCAAATTGTAGTGCTCCAATACCTTCATGCAATACACAAGCAAAACCAGACCCTGCGAATGCTAGTTCCCCATTAGCTTGATGAAAAACACAAACAATAAAAGACTCTGCAAATTGTAGTTCCCCAATAGCTTGATGCAAAACACAAACAAGGCCGACCCCGCAAATTGTAGTTCCCCCATTAGCTTGATGCAAAACACAAGCACAAGAACACACCGCAAATTGTAGTTCCCTAGTGGCTTCATGCAAAAGACAAGCAGATGAACACACCGCAAATTCTAGTTCCCTAATAGCTTCAAGCAGAACACAAGCAAAAGAAGACCCTGCGAATTGTAGTTCCCCAATAGCTTGATGCAAAACACAAGCATCACCGATCCCTGCAAATGCGAACCCCCCAATAGCTTCATGCAAAACACAAAGAACACCGAACCCTGCAACTTGTGGTTCCCCAACAGCTTCATGCTAAACACAAGCAAAATCAGACTCCGCAAGTTGTAGTTCCCCAATAGCTTCATGCAAAACAGAAGCAAAACCAGAGCCGTCGAATTCTAGTTCCCCAATAGCTAGATGCAGCAAAGACCGCAGTTGCCGCTGTTGGCAACCACAACCAGTGGGCCAGACTTAGGAAAGCAAGCCGGGGAGGGCCAGACCTAGGAAAAAAAAAAACCGCTCCGCCGGGCCGGTTTCCGTCGGTTTTGAGAATCGACGAGTGATGAAGTTAATCAGACGTCTTGGGTCCTCTTGCCTCAATCTCAAAGGTTTAGGGTCAAGCCTATAGCTTCCCTTGTTGACACAGAACAGCCATCAGACTGACCAACCCGACAGTCTTGTCTGTATTCATTGCATGTTTGATCTGTTTGGGTACAGGTGGGGGCTCACTGACCTTACTCCTCTCCAATCCTCTCACTTCCTGCACACCCGCCTCTCTGCCCTGGAAGCCTGCCTGCCCCGTCACGCGCCTACTGCAGGCTGTCAGAAGAGCATCCATTCATGTGTTCGACTTGTCTCTGTTTTGGCAGCTTGATTGAGACATGGCCTGCCACCGAGGCTGAACATGAGCGTTGGCAAGGGTGCTGCCTTTGATGCACACCTCGATGCTCTTTGCTATGAATTTTGACTTCGTTCGTGGCTGCAGGGGTTTTGATCAAGCTCTCACCTGCTCTCAGTGGTGCATAGATTTCTGTGTTCTGGTGCACAGACTGACCAGCTTGCGTTTACAGCCAGGAGAGAGCTCTCCCTCTCCCTCCCTTTGTCACCCTCCATCTTTTTCTTTTATCTCTCTCTCTCTCTCTGTCTCTCTGTCGCTCGCACTGGCCGTCTCTTTGTTGCGCTTACACACCTGCCCCTCTCACCTTCATTCTGTCACTCAGCGGACCTGCGAAGCTCCATGGTCTTTCGACAGGTGGGTGTGGCAGAGAAGCCGTACAACCGGAAGCTGTCGTGCTGGGCTTGATGTTGCCGAGCTCTGCACACATGACCTGCTGAAACCAGCGTCTCAGGCTTCTTCTGTATTTGAACGATTCCTGGAGGCATCCCGTTTCAAGCAACCACAAGTAAAGGTCGAGTGCTCTAAGTTTGATGGAGGCCAGCGCTTGGAGGAGAGATTGTTCTCCTTGGAGAGGGGCAAACAGAGGTGTAGCCTGTGCCCCAAGTCTTCTGATGTGCTACTTGGCCGGTGGTGGCAGGCCGAGGCAGCAAAGTCACATCCAGATTCACTGGGGCTTCCGGTGGGAAGCTTTGAACGGTTGGAGATGCAAGCCCTATTCCACCGGCTCGAGTCATGACTCATGTCGTGCTTGAGGTCACTTTGCCACCAACCAGTGGAAGGCTCATTGTCGGGGCCTTGCTCGTATGCTTGTGACCTTCAGACCTCCCCACGGGCATATGCCCACGGGCGTCCCGGGGTGAAAACTGGATGCAGCGAGCGCGGAAGCAGCAAGGGAGACGGCAAGTGAACCAAGAATTGCAGCGAGCGGGCTTCAAAGCTGGCCGAGGGTCGACAATGCTCAACCTGTTCAGAAACTTCGCTTTGGCGCGGACGCCAGGCTTCTCGGAGCAATCCGCAACAAACCTGTGTGCCAAGAATTGTGCACCCAAAACAGCGATCGATTTGCGCTTCGTGACCTCCTCATGTCGTATCTTCTAGATCACCAGACCTGGGTGCTCCCTGCACAGGGAGCCACGTCGGGTGACAAGGGTTCAGGCAAGCGGGTGTCTCCCAGCAGAGGAGATAAGTCCAAGTGCTTCCAATCGACTCGAACGACCTGGATGCGCTCTGGATTCGAAACAGCCCGGACTCGGACCCCGTGCGTCAGCATCCCATCCTTGAATGAGATCAGGGGCTTGAGGGCTTTGGGGCACTCCGTCGTTTGAGGGTTGGGGTTTGAGGTTTTGCATTAGAGGGTCAGTTTGAGCTGTCAGGTTCAAGGTTGAATGGCTAAGGTCAGGTTTAGGATTTGAGGTGAGGCTTAAGGTTTAAGGTTTTATGTTTACGGGTTGAGAGTTAGTGTTCAAGGTTTAGGGTTTGAGGTTTGCGAGAATGGATGTTTAAGGTTGTTGGTTCAGGGCTTCGGGTTTGGGTGAGGGCTTAGGGTTCAGAAAGGGTTTGGGGATTTGTGCCAGGGGTAAGAGTTTGTTTAAGGTTGGGTCCGAGAGCCAGGGTTAAAGGTTTAGGTCGTGGTTGGGATATCAGCAGTCATGCCCCACATCCGACAACTGAGCATTGTGCACCAGGCGCATGGTTCTTAGGGGTTCCGGGATCTGTCTTTGGATGTTGTTGCCTGATGTTTGGATGCCCACGCTGTCTGCCATGGATTGCCGCGGATCCGACATGCTTGACCAATTGCAGGGGGCGGAACCGCGACCCTACATCCAAGACACGCAATCCGGTTTCTGGCTGCAAAGAGGCATGCAGGAAGGAAGGGAGACAAAGATCGCCATTCGACCAAGGGATGCATCACCGGCTGTCCGGGTTACAACGAGATGCTTCCGAGGGAAGCCACCGGCGAATGTGAACGGCTATGACCCGAATTCGCGACATCACATCAATTTACAAGCGCTTTACAACATCGTCAACAACAGCGAACTGCAGCAACGACAGCCAGCCGCACTGTCAGCCCCAGCACATCACACCACCGATAAGAAGCACCCGACCAGCGGCCGCCTCAGGCGGCGCTGCTGAAGCAGCCGCGACGACGACGACAACAAACAATAATAGGAAGAACAGCAGCAGCAGTGTTCACGAACACCAGCACCAAGATTGATTCCAACACCAGTTTCAAAATAATTCAGACGCCACCTCAGCAACAATGCCGGGAAGAGCAACAAGCCTATCAAAAATTGCCTCAGCAACGCTTGCAGTGCCAGCAAGAGAGAGTGGCAGCAACGCGGCGAGAAACGACAACACCAACATTAAGACCCACTTTCAACGACTGTTACAACTTGTCTCTTGGGAACTTCAGATATCCCTCTGTTTCCCACACAGCCAATTCGTCTCCTTCGAACGTTGCCCCATCAGTGATGAGGCTTTTTGGTCAGACAAGATCCTGCACAAAGTGAAGGTGAGGGTTCTGAGCGCTGGTGTAATTGATGCGCACTTGATGGCAGGCATCGGAAGTCCTCAAAGGCATGAAGGATTACCGGGTCTCGTACGTAATTTGGCTCTGGCCCCAAGCCTCCACACGCATGTGAGAAGGCGGGGGATAACTAAGTTTCAGGCCGCAATAGCTGCCTTTGCATCTCAGGCTGCTGGGGGAAGAGGCGGTGCAAGATGCGCCCTCCAGCGCCTGGATCGCATGGAGACACGCTTCACATGATGTCACATGCTTATGTCATCCCTCCCTGCTGATCCAGGTGCGGCAGACGCAAGCACGGCAGAGACTGCGCACGCTTCCCAGCTCTGCGAGCACCTGCTCGGCCTCGAACCGTGTGCTCCGTTTCCGCCCGCTCGAGGCCAGCCTGGGCGCTCTAACGTGAAGTGCCGTGTGTTCGTATTACTTGCATTTCGTGCTCTGAGCAGGGAACACGAGACGAGAAAAGGAGGGCTCTCAGCTACAGTCCACACGGATTTGCATAGTTTCGCAAATTGAGACTTGCAAGCTGCTTTCTTGAGGCTTGAAGGTCTAGTGAGAAAGATGCCAATGTTCGAGCAATCAGATTGATTCGGCGTGACGAAACAAGGGGTTCACTCATTAATGTCCTCCTGTGGTTTGTCCTATACTCCATGGTCCATGTCATGTCGAAGCTCTGCCTGTTGGGGCAGTAATGGAGAGTGGTGAGGTGCCTGCGCCAAACCGGTTGCAAGACTTGGCAGCACAGGCAAGCTTGTTGCAGCAAGAGATTAAGCGCCAGAAGATTCTGGCACCTCCTGACCTCATCGAGCAGAACAGCTTCCTGCTCCGACAGGAGCAACGACGGTGGCAAGATGCAATCAGCTCCGTGGAACGGGCACCGTCGCCGCATGAAGAGAAGCAAGACGTCTTGAAGGAGTTCCAAGTCTGCAATCGGATGCAAAAGGTTATGACAGAGGTAACGAAGCTCATCAAGCAACACGCTGAAGGCGAGTCTCGTTTGATTCGAGCAGAGCTTGCTCAGCTGCAGAGCAGGCAGAGCAGCGAGAGTGAGGCTCCCAAGCTCCTGGAGCTGCAGCAGCAGGTCCAAGAGCTTCAAACGGCAAAGCAGAAGCTGCTGGAGAGTCAGAGTCAGAGTCGGCCCAAAGAGATCTCCCCTCCTAGGGAGCCGGCAGGAAAGGGCACGGGAGCCAAAGGAGGCAAAGGCGGCAAAGGCGGCAAAGGCAAAGGTCCACCCTTGCCAAGCTCCATGCCCGTTCCGAAACCGAAAGCCAAGTGCCAGGCCGAGAAGAAGAAAAGTAATCTGGTGACTCTGTATTGGAGACCGCTGCCGGCCAGCGTTGGCAGCGACAAGATCAGTACCAGTAGCAGCGGCCTACTGAAGCAATGCGAAGAGATGCTTGCAGCGGCTTCGGGCACATCTGAAGCAAGCTACGACGAAGAGCAGCAGCTCGGAGGAGTATACGATAAGCCGGAGGCTCCGGAAAGCGATAATCTTCCAGAGTCTATGATCGAGGCACCTTGGACTGCATACATGCGCTTTACACTACTAGAGTGCCCGCAGACCCTGATGTTTGTCAGGTCTACTTCCAGCGGCGGGAAGCAGCTGTGCACCTGGACTCTGAGCCTTTGCTGATCAGACGAGTTGAGAGACCTGGCCAGATGAGTTGTGAGGCAGTTGTGCTTTGCCTCCCGGTCTCCTAGGGCAAATCGGATAAGATCTCCATCCTGGACGAGAAGCAGCGACGGATGCTTCGCTCTCAGAAGTGCTGTGCCTGCCCAGTTGTTACATTGTTCGCGCTTTCCCGTCCCTCGACCCAGGTTGGGCATTCTGATGAGCAAGTATCGGATGAAGAACAAAGGTGGGCGCTTGAACGATTCCACGTAATTTTCTCAGCCGGACTGCCTCCGGTTGCCGTGCAGACAGTGATCGGGAGATCGTGGCAATCATGAAGCAGGCAGCAGCGGCCTGAGGCAACAGAGCGGCGACGCATCGTCGCATGCTACGTCGTATGCAGTTCCAGGTTCTCAGCTGCAATTACGAAGTGCTCAGAGAGGAGGCTCCCGCAACAGCTCGAGGGTCTTGAATGCTCGTTACACTTTCGTCACAATCGATGCTTCGCGGAGGGTCTCTGCATGCTTCGCAAAGTGATACGAGACCACGCGTTCACGGGGCCACTGCGCTGCAGACGGCATGCATCGGCTTCGACCTGGCACTCACCAGACTCTGCTGATCCGAGGAACAAGATTCGGGAGTTTGTGCAGGCCAACGGAGAGGCAGCGGACGCAGAGAGCCGTTGGCCTTCGGCGGCCTTAGGCGCGCCTCTCGTCAGCTGCACGTCATGGGCTGAAAGGCGGCTCTGAAGAAGCTGAGAGACCCGTGGTTGCATCGCCTCATTCACGAAGTGCTCAAGGCAGGGAGCGGCAGGAGCCCAAGGTGCTGCGAGCAACGCGTCTCGTCAGGTCCCCCAGATCGAGGAACGGCTCGAATGTATGCTGTTTCAGCTGGCTTTCGAGGACTCCCCAGCGGCTTAGCTTTCTTTTGCCGGCTGAGCATGACAGTCTCTCCCACAGGACGGCTTCACGAAGTGCGCCCAAGACATGGAAACGCTTTGCCAGGCATCAGTAGCCTTTGCATCCCGAATTGTGCCCTCCTCTGCACTTCGCAACGCAAGGCTCTCCAAGCCCTAAGTGCCAAACAGGTGGAGCTGCGCAGGCGCGACAAAATCCGAGCCAAGTAGGATCTACTAGGATTGCTCTGCGTACAGTCCCCGATGCTCCTTCTGCAGCCCAGATGAGCATAGTATAGCATGCCAGTCCACGCCCAGCACAAGAGCATGGTGCCACTGCTGCCAGGTTCTTCACACTCGCTCACCGCCTGGGCACCGTTCTGAACAGTAACTGCCTGGTGCCCCCTCCTGCCTCCGGCCAGCTCATTGCGACTGAGAGTTGTGATAGCTTTGCATTCAAAGGTAACACGACTTCTATAGCGGCCTTAGTATTCAGAATAGGGTTTGGGGTACATTATGGTATAAACAGAACAAGGAACCCCCAGAATAGTATCGGCAATGATTAAGGCCTCAAAATCACACAAGCAGTCAATCTCGTACCAACGAGTGCCAAAGGAGCCTTTGGGGGATTGAGACTTTCAGAAATCAGTGCTTTACCCTAAGGCTCCATATAAGGTAATCCCAAAAAGGAACTACTGAGGAGCCTCTGGGTAGAGCTTTGCACCTCAGGTGCTTGGAGATATTGGCGTTTGGTACTTTGCGGTTTAGGGTTTAGGGTTTTAGGGATTTAGGGGATTTAGGGTTTAGGGATTCCACAACCCGAAAGCAGTTCATTAAACTCCATCCCCCTACCAAGTCCGAAAACAGCGGGCGCCTCCAAATTCAGGGGGCACACCCTGTATGCCAGAACCTCATCATGTCACGAGTGGCTTGGGGTACCCCGATGTGAGGTCAATCGTTTAAGATCTTGGCGTTTGGGATCTGCAGCTTGCGCCTGCTGGACCTCCACGGGGTACCTCCTGATTGCTTGTGCCCACTGCGTATCCCGGTCTACCAAAGTACCTGGTACTTAGCACCACCAGCTTCTAGCCCCCAATGCGGGTTGCTGTATTCCTTGAGCCATGTGTTCGCGCATTGCCGGCGGGGAGGAGTATCCGATCTGTACGACTTTTGAAGACTGTGGCCTGAGGCAGGACCTTTTGCAGAATGTCTACGCCTACGGTCTTAAAAATCCTAGTGCCATCCAGCAGTGTGGCATACTGCCGATCCTGGATGGGCGTGATGTATATCTGGAGGCACCTTCTGGCGTAGGGAAGACCACTGCTTTAATCATTGGATGCACAGCTTCGATTGACTGCTCCGTGAAGAGATGCCAAGCCTTGGTTCTCTGTCCAACTCGGGAGCTCGCACATGCGGTCCGCCATGTCTTCTGCAGCTTCGACAGAAGGATCGAGTCTTATTCGCTCGTAGGCGGTCTCTCCGTCCGGGATGATGTGCAGGCTTTGCGAAATGGTCAACATCTGATTGTCGGAACACCTGGCCGCAGTCACGACATGATCAGCAGAGGCTTTCTGGACACGAGCAGCTTGAAGATTATCGTCCTGGACGAATTGCAGGAACTCTTGCGTCGTGGATTTGCAGACACTCGTTCTGGATTTGGCTCTGCGGCTCGTGTGTGTGTGTGTGTGTGTGTATGTATTGGCTCAGCAATCGCAAACATCTTAGAACTTCGTTTCTGCGGCTGTGACGAAATCGAAGCAGGGGAGGGTCACGATCGGGAGCAACAGTTTCCGAGGTCCTAAACCATGACTTCATGTATAAACCCACCGCCACAAGAGCTCACGCGGATGTGGGCTTGAACTCATGAGATGGTTTGATTCTGTGTTGGGTGCGGTTCTACTCTTTTCAAGAACTTCTCGGTCAGCTGAGGATCAGCTCGGCAGCATTTTCAGCGCCCTTGCCCCAGACATCCAAGTCTGCGCAAACTCCGAGACCGGGGAGCCGGCTTCTGCGGTCTCAAAGCTTTTGCGGATGCGGAATCAAGTCGTGCTTCGAATGGTGAGGGATCCAGTCACTTGGGAGGACATCAGACAATTCTACTTGGATGTCGATGCGGAGGAGAACAAGCTTGATGCACTTCGTGAACTCTTCGAGAACCTGCCAGTTACACACGCAGTTGTTTACTGTAACACACGCCGAAAACTAGACTTCCTCCAACAGCACAACACTATTGTGGCGCTTCAATTGCGTGGGTATGCCCTCTTGTCGGCCTATGCAGATCTTGATTCAAGAGAGCGAGAGGCGGTGCTACGGAGCTTCTCTTCAACTTCTAAAGCTGTGCTCCTCTGCACGGACAGCTTGGGAAGCGCACTGCATGCGCTGCCTTTACCGCCTCAAGGAGCGACGCGAGCGATCTTCATCAACTTTGATCTGCCTACAGGCCGGGAGGCCTACCTGCGACGTGTGGGATGTGTGAGGAACCGTGGAGTGGTCATCAGCTTGGTAACCCCAGCCACCATGCGAGACATGAGGGAAATCGAGGCCTTCTACGGGATAACGGTTAAGGAGCTGCCTCAGAACATTGCAGAACTTCTCTAGACCCGCAAATGGACTTCATACCCTTGGTGTCGGTGTATGGACGAGGATGCACAGCCTGATGCGGCTGAAGTCGTTGAAGAGGCGTCGCTCATTTATTCTGCCGGTTCTGGAAACCGCTTCTGCGGCTCCGTCTTTGAGTCTCGTCAAGCACCAACCTTTGTTTTGCAACTGGGATGCACAGCCACAGCACCTGCCGAACTACCACTTGGAGGTGGAAATCATTGTAGGACCCCAGACCCATGACCCTGACAGTTGTGCGAGCCCCGGATTTCCGGGAATGCGGCGGACCAGCAGGAGCTCTGCATGAGGAGCTCTGCTGAGCTGTGGTTCTCCAAACCAGAGTAGATTCAACCCGGACGTGTCCTGCCGGGACTGCAAATAGACAGAGTTAGCCGTTCCAACCTAAGGCGTGGAAAATGGATGTGCGTTGCAGGGTCCTGCGTGTAAGGAAACGTAGCCTTTGTCTCGCAGGCGCCTCAAGCTCCGAACGGCTTCAGTCTCTCCTCACTCGAGAAGCTGGCCGCTGACTGAGAGTCGCAGGCAGAGTCGAGTAGCGGTTGAGCAGCGATGATTCCGCCAACTCGCCAAGATTCAAACCAAGTCGACGGCTTCACCCAAGGCTCATGAGAGCATTGCAGATTCTTCCGGATGTTTCGCTGTTAGAGCCAGGGCTTGGACCGAAAAGCTTTTACTTGAGACCACGCTGCTGGGTAGCCGATTTTGCCTCACTGTCTCAGCACAACATGCTGCACTTCGTCTTGGCCATGATGACGCCGTCGGCCGCAGCAACACTCTTCACCGACACGGTGCTGGACTCGGGCTGTCGTCGGTACAGCCATAAAAGTTTGTCAGTCCAGCATGCACTCATGCATGTCAGGATGTCAAGCTGCTGGCCAAAGCGAAAGCAATGAAGAGTTTTACCGTGTACCAGGACAGACGCGGGGCCAGGTGCCTCTTGTTCCCTATGACCTCGAGATCAGCTTGCTTGTGTTGCTTCTCCAAGACAAGTGACCTGGAGTTTCCACAGGATTGCACTGAGCTCACCCAGGGTTTCCAGGCAATCCGCGAGATATGTCAGACAGGCCCAAGCTGCAATGGTCCTGGGCCTTCGTCGGAGTTTTCCTTCTGATCCTTTGGAGGCAGGTATCAGAACACCACGACGGGGGAGAAGGTGAAGATGGAGCGGAGGTTGGGAGGCGATTTGAGGGAGTGCAGCATCGCTGCTGGCAGTGCCAGGAGGATGACCAAAGCTTCCAGAGAGGCTGAGGCCAGCAACAGCCAGCAACCGCCAAAGGGCACCGCGGTGGAGCTTCGACGATGCACAGGAGACCATTGATGCCAACGACACCTTCCACAACGCCATGCAGGCCAAGACTTCGTATGCGAGCCTGCTCTTGGCTCCGACATGGGCGTTCGTTGGAGGCCTTTGTCGGCAAGTACGAGCGCCAAGTTGCGGCTGTGGAGCAGGGCTGCTATTGCTCCTTCATCATGTACAAGGACCAAAAGGTGTGTTTCGGTTTGGTTGTAGGGTGGCGCAGTGACAGGAGCAAGCGCTGTTCCTCGGCGATCTCTCGGTGTATCCTCCACCGAAGGAGGATCAGGATGGCAAGGCTCGTGGCCACAGACAAGGGGTGGCAGACGCCCGAGTACTTCGACAGGCTGATCTTGTGGTCATCATGCACAGACTGGCAGCGTCTCTCAGCAGCAGTTAGGACTTCAGGACTGTACAACTGCTGCCTGTCTGTCTTCGTTTGACAAAGGCAGGTGCGACGACATGCAGAAGAGGTGGAGCAGGAGCTGGTGTGTGCTGCAGTGTGACGAGAAAACAGATGCATGCCAATGCGCAGAGCCATTGGCTGAAGCTTGCAAACAAGTCCCGAGCGTTGAAGTGACCATCACCGAAATACCAAACACCTCTCACATCATGGCGAGCCAAAGAGCAACAAGAGTCATTCAATCGTAAAAAACTCTGCAATCGATCCAGTATTGCAGGGGTGATTCGCAGAGCATGCCAGAACCAGACGGGGTTGCAAAGTAATGCGGACATCTGCTCAATCCGGGGCCAGGCTCTTGGACCCGACCACCTAGAGGTATCTGACCGTAGGCTCCGCACTACCAGGTCTCTGGCACTAAAGCCGTCACGAGGCCTTGAGTCAATGGAGGACGCAAATCTGCAGTCGCTGTACAGACCCAACAGGTCGCAAAGGCCTGCCTCGCGCAACACAAGGCGAGGCTGCCAGGATGCCGGGCCCATGCGACCCGCACGGCCACACGTGCAGATCTTGCGAGGCCTGCAGCAAGGCAGCGCTCGGACGCTCATTCACAGGTGGAGTCGGCCACTTAGAGTCGATGTATCGTCTTAGCTGTAGCAGTGCTGTAGCTCTTGCGCTGTCATGCTCCAGGCTCAAGGCACGCCGCCGCTCCGAGCCAGAAGTACCTCCAAGCCTCGAAGACGAGGCTGAGACCTCGGAGGAGATCTTGAAGGTGAAGGGGATAGAGTGTCAATGTGAGGCAGCGGTGGCCCTTCTCCAAGCATCATGTTGGCTTCCAGATGCGATAGGCTTGCTTGCCTGGTCCCAAGCGACCACGACCTCACGCCGAGATCGGCTTTGCGTATGGCGTATGGTCTGCGGTTACAGCTAAGGTCCGGAAGCCCTTGTCAGAGCTGCGGGCCGAGCTACGCGTGGAGGCCGCGACCGGCCATGAAGAGGCGTTGACCCGGCAAGTTCTAAGATGGTCGCAGGAGGAGGAGGAGCATTCGCCAGCCTCTTCCGGCTACTGGGTACTCTTTTTGATCGGAGCAAGAGCCATGCAGAGAGCTATGCATAACTTCTGGCAGCTGAGGTTCGGGAAGCTTGATGGCATTGTCTGCTTTTCTTCGCCGGACGCTGCAGGACTGAACGGCACTCAGGGTAAAGATCGGCATGAAGGCACCATTGAAGATGTCCATGTCTAGGCGCTGCTGGACTTGCAAGAGGCTTCTCATGGCTCTCAGCGGCACGGCCGAAAAGAACACAGCCCACGCACGTCGTAGTTCTCTCTGCTTGTTCAGGGCGGTAGCTCTTCAGGAAGCGGACGTGGTGGCCCCAGCAGTCCGGGGGCGAAAACGCAGGGGACAGATTCAAGTTGCAGGTCATGATGCAGTGGCTGGTGCGAACCAGGGAAGAGCGCGAGCCCTGATCGAAGCCAAGCCGTCCATGCCTAAGACTCTTGGCAGCTGAGGCTTTGCATCTGGGGTGCTGCCGGCGCAGTCGTCCTGGGCACGGCATCTCGTTTCATCCTTGCGCCAGGGCAGCGGGCCGGCAGAGCTCTCAGAGCTCTGGCGTGACCCTCGACTGGGACTTTTGGGACTTGGGAAGACGTCCTCTTCGAATCCTTTGGGAGCAAGGCTGGGTCAGAGCTTGGCATCCAAGAGTTGGTGCCTCAAAAGTGAGAGCATTCGAGTCAGATTTAGAGTCGCCTGTCATCCTCTTGCCAAAGAAGCGCTCTGCCAAGGCTTGGAAGCCAGCTGCAAACTTTCATACAGGTCGGCTGGCCGAGCCAGAGCCATGTCTGAGCGGTGCGGCCCAACGGCTTCGTGTGCACTGAACAGGGCTCGATGGTGGAAGCGATGAAGCAGGGCTCCTCTCAGTTTGATCAGGACTTCGGTGCACGTCTTCGTAGTAACTTAGTAGGTCTTTTGCAAGACCCAACTCAAGCACTGTCTTAGCACGCCGGAGGAGCTCGCGCAGCTTCGGCAAGAGCTCCAAGAAACACGAAGCCTGAAGCCAAACTGCTACTTCAAAGGGTCTGTTTTCCTCTCAGTTCCATCCGATCTTTATGCACCTACGGAAGAGTCGGGCCTTCAAGGTCTAGCAGCAGCTGCTGCGGCAGAAGCACGGAAGCAGGAGGCCATCGCCGTGACAGCCTCGGCGACCACCTTTCGTGCTCTAGCATTATAACCTTGATTTCTGGTAATCACTGGATCATGGCTCGGGAAGTATTTCTGAGCAGATTTTGACCAGCAAATGTGTACAGGGAGGTGAGTAGGGTCGTTTGGCGGTTCGTAATTTGACCAGCAATCTGCCAAGAAAGCGACCAGGGAGGTTTGGTAATCTGTCAATTATTTGACCAAGGTCAGAAAAAGAGTCAGAAAACTGGCCAGGGTGGGCTCAAAGTCAGAAATTGGAAAAGCAAACTGAACAACAGAAATCCGAGACGCAGCACGGTAGCGTGGCCAGTCTTGAGCGTCGCATGCGGTGCAGCAGTGCATGAGCGAATCAAGCCACATGAGCCACATGAGTCACATGAGGTTTATGAGGCATGAATATGGCATATATGGCAAAGTTTCAATAAAGTTACTGGCGTTAGAGCTGTTAGAGTCGAAGCCATGAACTTTCATCCGTCGCTGCATATGGTCTGCAATGAACTGTTGGATGAGGATGTTCTTCTGTCACAGCAGACAGAAAGCGCGGATTAAGTTCGTAATCCGCCTGAGTCGCCGACTGATGAGCCGCGCAGCAAGGGTTGGACTCGAAGGTTTGGTGGTCGGGGACCCTGCTCAGATTCCCTGGTCAGATTCTTCGAGCTGTTTGTGGCGGGGCGGCAACCCTGCTCAGATTCGCTGATCAGATTTGAACCCTACTCAGATTCCCTGGTCAGATTTGCTGGTCAGATTCCTCGGGCCCCGATCCGAATCTGACCAGGGAATCTGACCAGGGTGGCCGGTGCTCGAGGAATCTGACCAGCAAATCTGACCAGGGAATCTGAGCAGGGTTCAAAACTGACCAGGAAATCTGAGCAGGGTCGCCACCCCGCCACACACAGCCCCAAGAATCTGACCAGGGAATCTGCGCCGGCCCGCCACAGCTCGAGGAATCTGACCAGTGAATCTGAGCAGGGTTCAAATCTGACCAGCGAATCTGACCAGGGTGGCCGTGTCCTGCCCAGAATCTGACCAGGGAATCTGGTAAGGGTGGTCCCATTCGGCAATGTGACCAGGGAATCCGTTTCTGACCAAGCAATCTGACCAACGGCCAAATCCGCCCTAACTGGTCCAGCCTCCGGCCACCCGTTTTGAGCCTCTGCGCAGACGAGTCTGGTTAGCTGCCGACTTCGACGAACGACGAACAAGCATTTGTTAGACTACGTTATTTTAGCGTAACACCACAAGCTACAACTAAAGCAGCTAAAGCAGCCGTGCAGTGATGGAGCTATGACCTGGACACAGGATGATATCCCTGTGCTGCATTACTGTATGTGCTGTGTCTGGGTCCTGGGTCTTTGTCTTGTGCGCCCTGAAAATCAACTATAAACAAACTTGTAGCACAGGTTCTAGATTCTTGACACGTTGAATCGTGCACACAAGACCCTCGACAGTTCCCTGGACAGATTCTAGACACGTTGGAGTCTGCATGCAAAACGCTGGACAGTACCCTGGACAGATTCTGCACAGATTCCTACACAAGTGAACTTCAGATTCTGGACAGATGCTGTTCACATTCTGCACACATGAGTCCTGGCCAAAACATCCCTGGACAGATTCTGCACACATTGGCTGGACAGATTCGGTGTCACTTTTCAAGAAAATAAATATTTCATAACACCCAGTGGTTACCACGGAATCAAGGTTATAACTCTAGCATCCGGACTTGAAAATGTTCCATCAGGTGGCAAACGAAGGTTCCTTCTTGGCAAAGTCATTGGAGCAGCTCGACCAGAAATTTCAGGAGATCCAGCCAGTGAATGGATTTGACTTCTTCAACACAGCAGGTCGCCGATACGCCGATGCTTGCAGGACCACATCAGCGCAGAGGGGTGCAGACTTCGAGAGGCTCGAGCTCCCAGAGCTTAAGATCTTAAGAGCTAAGGCTGCTTTGGCTTTGGCGTGGATGTTTGGCAAAGGAAGTCAGCCGCAGCAAAGCTCAAGTCGTCGGAGAACTCGCAGAGCAGCAGCATGAAAATGCCACGTTCTGAAATCTGTGGGTTCCTCGCCTAAGTGGAGATTCAGAGTTTTGCCCAGGTGCAGCAGCTTTCGAAGCTTTGGGAAGCGCAGAACCGGCAACGAGATCATGAGCTTCAACTGCTGCGGCAGCATGCAGAGACCGCAATGGTGGAAATGCGGTCTTCCGTCGGATCGGCCGAGCTGGCCTACTCCAAGGCAAAAGCATGCAGCAACCCCTCGTTCTGGCTGTCGTAGCATTCTCGGTCAGGCTACTGCCGAGCAGGCTGTGGCTGCGGCCCTAGAGCCCTAGATTCAAGACAGCCTCGGGCCTGTGCTGATCCATCGCCCGCGTGGCAGGTCTCGAAGGTGCTCTCCGAAATGCAGGCAGAGCGACAGGCACATCACAGAGAGCTGGCCAGCAGCTTAAACAGAAACTGGCACACGCCAGCGGCGTACCGGGTCCACATCCAGGAGCTTGGGCAGCGCGATCGAGAGGCTTTGGCGTGTTGCCCTCAGGCCATTCGCTGTGGAATTATGATGTTCGTGTCGTCGAGATCGTTCTTTGCACTTCATTTATGAGCCCTCCATGAGGTTGCAGCTGACGGAGGTATAGTGCTTAGAAGTGCTTAGCCTGGGCGCACGAATCAAGCCGCACTGAGAGAGGCGACGAGGCAAAGTCTTCAGCTGAGGCCTGGGGGCCTGGGGCCTTGGGATCCTAAGAGCGTCACGGCGTCACGGAGGGCAGAGCCGAGTTGTGCCCAGGACATCGCTCAGCGACCAGGAGTGGGCCCGGCCAAAGGCTGAGAGCGAAGCGGCAGCCGAAGGCGACGGTAGCGGCCCATAGCGGCCCATAGCGGCCCATAGCGGCCCTTGCGGCCTAGGCCAGAGCCTGTTCAGACGGCTATGACCCCGCTCGCTCGTTCGCGTGTCTGGCCTCTGCCGGCGCCCCAACGAAGCGCTGCCTGCCCACTGCAGCCGTATAAGCGTGTACAGTAGAATGCGAATGCTGGAGATGTGGAGGCCCGAGGCCACGGCGTCTTCCCCGCTGAGGCCAAGGCCAAGGCTGCCAAGTGGGATGCTTTGATGCTTTTGCTTTGCATTGCTCGGGGCCAGGCCTTGGCCAAGGGAGCCAAAGGAAGCAAAGGAGGATGGAACCGGAAGAGTGCAAGAAGATGGCTCATCAGTGTGCCGTGTGAGTACTGAGCCTTTGCCCTAGATTGCGTCTGGTTTAGGCACTTGCGGCATGTTGGGTGGTCGTTCTGTCTCGGCCCACCTGCATATTCATTTATTCCCCACAGCTTTCTCTGCCATCCTTCTCGTAGTCCGGATCTACACAGCTTCCTCAGGCCGCCTCTGTTTGTGGCCCATCTATTATTCCCGTGGTACTCAGGTCTTACGCCTGAAACATCCCAAGCAACTGGCTAGCAATTTCTGGACTCGTACCCAGCTGGGTAAAGTGCGAACTACATGCTCAGCCCACCGCGGTGTCATCGCTGCGGCGAACACCATCCGGCCTCATGCCCGCATCGCATCCACTGTCAGGACTTGCTCGAACGCCAACCCCATGTCTGAGCTCTCGCTGATGTGGATCTTCTCGCCGTAGCGATATCATGACGGCCTGACGCAGTGCCTTATCGCATGCGAATTTGCTCTACACGGTGCGGAGGGACACGCGATGTATCGTAAGCAACATCATGACGGTTCAGACAGTAGGCCAGGGGGGCGGGAGGGGTTGCGGGCTTTTTGTATATGAGCAAACTATGCCATGCCGCCAGAGGTGATAGGTCCGTTATGACCTGAAGGCCGCACGAGAGCGACACTAGCGGTTCCTCGACGGGTCCGTAATCTGTTTTTCCGCTAGCTCGCAACGGCAAGTCGTAATCGCCGCAGCCGTTCGACTTAAGTGCCGCCGTTCTGGTCCAACGATGTGCACTAGGGATGTCTTTCCTGCCACCTCCCCTTTTCTCCGCCTTGTCTGGACTTATTCCGTCCTGTGGATTTTGGATTTGGGGTGTGAACTGGACCTTGCTCGTGCACTTTCCGTAGGCTGTGAATCCATCAAAATCCTTCCCGGTAGCCGGTTATGACTTATTTCGTCCGACCGGTTACCCGAATACAGATCCGTAGTTCCATTCTCGATGGCGGCTTTCTGGTCCTATTGACTCCGGTAGCCGGCCCGGATCTGCTGCGGATTTTCAGCCATCGGAAAACGGAAGGCTTCTCTTGTCCGATCCGTATGCAGGGGGCCCACCGAACGTAACGGACAAGTGCTGGCAGAAGAACGAAACTGTTTAGATCAGTCCGGCTGCAGGTTTGTTGTTCGGTTTAGCTCGCACTCTCTTCTCGTTCAGTTCCCAGGTCGGTTTCATTTCGTCGACCAGGAGACTTTCCCGTCCCAGACACGCAGCTGCGGCGAAGGGTGCTGGAGGCGCGAAGCTGCACGAAGCAGCGGAAACACGTCCTCGACCTCGCAGTCGAAGCCGCGACAGGAGCGACCTGGACCTGATGCAGTGCAGGCATGCGCCAACACAACAGCAACAGTTGAAAGCCAGACCCACCACTCATTCCTGTCATCCATGCATCCCTTTGGAGCCAGGGCACGGACAAAGCGTGGGCACCCCAGAGCGCCATCATCTTCCAATGTGCGTGTCGAAGTGTTCTGATGAGGCCGGCAGTGGCTCCGTGGGATCTTGCCTCAGATCAGAAGATTCTGGAGAGCACACAATGAAGGTTCGAGGTTTGTGTTACTCCGTGGATTCCTGACCGTTAGGAATTGCCACCAAAAGAGTTTCTCTCTATTTGGCGCCAGTCTCAGGCAGGGTTGACCTGTGGCCATGTTCCATGTTTCAAGTCTTTAGAGTCCACTATATACAACAGACACACTCCCCTTCTGGTTTTGTGCAGGCCACAGCAACTGCGTCAGGTTTCAGGCAAAGCGCTGAGCATCATGGCCTGTTGCGGGTCATCACTGAAGTGCTTTGCACGGTGTGCAACTGGCAGGAATGGCGTCACTCATAGCGTGGACGCTGAGAAGGCGGTCCCAACAAAAGCTGGCAGTCGGAGAACTGGGGAAGACGGCCGCCCTCTGCTGCAGGAAGGAAAGACTGGTGACAGAGTGCCACACCATAGTACTGAGACACTGCGAATCACCGCGAGCTGGGATTGACCCTGTGCTGTGGAGAAAAAGCGGGTCTGCGACTTTGCTGCAGTGCAATTCAGACAAGTTGTCCTCAGATGGTGCGTCCTTGTTTCGCTGAGCTGGTTCGCAGATGTTCGCAGGATGGGCTGCGGGAAAGTTTGGCAGCAACATGTCAATGTGGTGGTGCCTAAGAGCCCTTGGTCTGATCGGGAATTTATGCTGGCCTCCTGCCTGGGCAGGAGTGTTTCTCAATTCATAATTCAGCGTATTGAGCTGCCCTTCTTCATGAAAAAAAAGGCGGCGGCCCCGGGACTCTCTCAGAAGTGTGCGCATTTTGCCCAGCTGTGGGGAGCGCTCGGGTTGACGGATGTTGACGGCGACGGCTAGGACGTAGGACGTTGACGACATCCGACATGGGAATCCCTGGGCGGTGTATCTCTCGTCTTCTGGCTGTAGAGTAAGTTCCAATTTGTGCTCAAGGCCTTTCCCGTTTGAGATGCTCAGCTTATATCCACTTGATGCTTAGGCTTAGAGACTCACTGAATCACCAAGCTCCCAAAACTGTGACTGCGGGTTTAGCTGGTTTCGTCGCGACTATGGTTCCGAGCATGTTTTGCCGTGATGCAGCAAATCTGTTCCAAACAGACGGGCAATTGCAGACCTTTCGCGCGATCTCTGGCCATGGGGGAGACACCCTGGCCCTGGCGGATGCACAAGGCGTGAGATCGCAGCATACTGCGTCACAGCTTCACATGTCAGGTGGATCGGGTTGTGATTTGCGCCAGACGTCGCTTGAAATTCCAGTGCCCCTATGTCGTCACCCGTCCACGCGCAGCACCTGTGAGGCATTGATCACGCTGTTCGTGTTGCCCAGCTGCCGCGGTTCCGGCTGCGTGTTCGGGGAATTTTCGGAGCAACTGGAGACGGCCAGGCTTCCTTCTTGTGCAGCCTATGGGGCCCGGTGCCCTGGAAAGTGTAGTTTCCACTGCAGCTCACCAGCGAAAGCTGCGCCTCTTCGAGGGTGAAGTCACTCGAGTCTCCAGGTTGTGCTTTGTGCTCTGACTCCGTCGTCCAACAACGCCCTCTGTGATTGCTTCCTTGTTCTTCCTGTGCAGGTGTGCATGTCAGCAGGTCTCAACCCTTAGCATTAGTGGGGCTGCGTATCTGCTCTGAGTCTGAATGGTCTCCAAAATAAAAAGTGTGCTTATGCCGAGAAAGGCACATGTGCTGCACAGAAACTGCTCGCACCGCCATTTTCACACAAAGCTGTACCTTGACGTGCGGTGCTTGGTGTTACCTTTGCCAAAGCATCTAAGAACACATTGCTTTGTTCTCGGCTTTGACTGGCGATGCCCGTGAATCACCGCCCCCGACTAACCAGTCGCTTGAAGCCAGACATTTTCTTCGTGATGGCGCCAGAGCCCAAAATTTGAATCATTTGCAGACGTTCTGATGCAGGGCATCCTATGTCACCAGTCTAGGTCGGATGTCTTGTGCAGAGACTTGACAGCGCTGCCCTGGAAGACACCCATTCCGGCTAGTGAGAATCCCGTTGTTGACCAGCCACGGTGTGAGCAGCGCCGAGGGTCCAGTTTTTGTAGCCTGCTACGCCAATCCTTTATATCGTCTCGCCGTCTTGCTGCAGATGTTTCGATACGTCACCAACATACTGAGAACATGGCAGGCTTGTGCAGTTGTCCAGTTGCTGAGTTCCATCACCATTCTCGAAGGATCGAACAAAGAAATCAGACGTCCTGTTGATTCTTCCATTCGGCACCTCTGGCAAGTTGCACTTCACATTCAGCTTTCGAGGCTCGCTGGTCCGCTAGTCAGGAGCTCCCTTGTCTGTCTTTCTTGAACAGCCGATGCGGCATTGTGCAGCCTTAATGCACGGAAACTTCTGTTTCCAAGGGTTCGCATAGTTGTCCAGAAAAAACTAAGATGGGAAGGCTCCCACCTCGCACGCGGACCCCCCTGAACAGATCAAGTGTGGCAAGTAGAGTCATCAATTCGCTTCGTGCTCGGCAGAACTGCGCTGCGAAGCCTTACAGTATTTTTGGTGGCTCTTCGCATTGCCGCCAGCCAGGCTTTAATCCAGCAAGCAGCTACAACAAGTGAATCCGTGGCGTACTGCCTGTAGGGTAGTTAGCCAGCTGCGTGTATCGGCGGCCCATCCGCACTCTCTACGCAGGTTCACATGGGGGTATTTCATAATAGCTTCCCTTATACATCTCCTTTCTTTCGTGACACCATGACCCACTGCTCTAGTCGGCCTGAAATGGCGCGACTACACAACAGTATGAGATGCAGGGATTGGTGTCAGTGGGCAGCCTTAATTGTCTCATCTTTTCTGGAGTATGGAGTTAAATGTTCTTCAACGTCGGATTTCGACTGGTTCCAGATGCCAAAGCTCGTAATGGTTCGGTCTCTCTTAAATGCGCGAGGCTGATGTACAGCATGCTACTGGAATGGATATGACATATCATGACACATACCATTGTTGGTAGATGTGACTTCAACTTCCTCTGCGATGCTTCTGATCTAACTTGACAATGCATTTCGTCAGCAGAGATGACGACTGGTCTTGCCTCATGTAGCTGTGGGCGATTCAAGCAGTCAGTTCCCTCTCTTGTGGGAAGACACCACTGGTGTGTGTGTGTGTGTGTGTGTGAGTATGTGACCGCACCGCGTTTCCGCATGCGTAGCGTTGCACATGTAAGGGTTTTTTTAGATTTGTTAGTAGCGGTGTGATATGTCAGATTCAAAGTTGCTCTGTGACGTCCGCCACCTCTCCGAGGGCGAAAAGAAGAGCAAGTTTTTAGCGGCATACCCCATGGCCTCCCTCTCAGTCCGCGGTGTCTTGAAAACGCTCATGCAGGTTCTTGCAGAACCCGATTTCCGCTTCCGGAGGTCTTCAAGTTCTGCTTGTTCTGGTGGTGCGTCTTCGTCTTCGCGGCCCGCGGCCAAGCTCGGCCGTCCGGGGAAGGAGGGAGGGGAGACGCGAGGGGAGACGACGGCGCCGGACGTCTCGGGAGGTCATGGCGGTCTACATCGCCGATCATTTGCTCTACCGGAAGTTTGGTGCCGCCAAGGTCGCCAGGTGCACAGACGACCGCAGCAGTGCCAGGGCAGAGAACGCGTACAAGAGCTTTCAACAGTCCTATAGGTCTGGAAAGCCGACCACTCTTTCAAGGGGGCATCACGCTGCTAACTCGGCTTGGGCTGTATCTTCAATTGATTCCCTATAAGAACATGGGCTGAGGCGAAGAGTTTTGGGCACAGTTCGCAGACCCATCACGGTGGTACCTGTAGACCTGTTTTGCTGGTGAATTTTAGAAGGAACTGCACATTGTCTCATGACGCGTGCCAGGTCATCGGAACACCCGGCCGACACCTCAGATGAACTTCAGTCATCTGCTGCGTTCACGGGCGTGGTTTCGCTCCGCCCGAGGTGCTTCAAACAGCAGATGTCAGCATGATACGTTGCGAGTCCAACGGGTCACAAGAGGAGGTCCCTGAGGCCTGAGAGTCTCTGAAGATTGGATGGGAACTCTCTCGACTTGGCTCTCATACCGTGACATCTGTGCTCTCCCCGAGGATGCCGCACCATCTCAAGATGAGGCGCCCTTCGCCAATCCAAGGAAGAAAGGTGAAGCCGTGAAGCCCGGGGCCCGATTTGACTGGAACAGCAGGTAAGGTTGCTGGTAGCGAGGGCAGCGGTTGATCTCAATTCAGTGCTCCATCTCTTGGCAGCATAAAGCATAATTTATCCGCTAGCGTGACAGCTGCATCGGAGCCGTTTCCGAGTTCCAATATGCTTGCCCGCAGCCAGCAGCCGGTTATGCAAATAAATAGAATACTGTACTGTCCAAGGCCAGGAAAGGGAGGGCAAAGAAGCACGGCGGAAGCAAGCGTTAGAGAGGGAAGGAACGGCAAAACAACCTAAGACGGGTTGAGGGCGGGACGGGGGTGAGGGGGCAGGGGTATGGCACCCGAGCACAAAATCCTGGAAGACAAAACCGTCAAAATGGTCCTCGTACCCACCCCCCAAATTGCTTCCAAAAGTTGAAACCCAGAACTCGATCAGCGAGAGGGGCCCTGGAGCGGCCAAAGGGGTGGAACGCAATGACATGACCTGATTCCATGAAGCTGATCTAGACTCCTAGACTCTAGGCTTTCCGGGCCGGTGGGGATAACGTTGGAGTTTGGCTGGCGGTCTCGCAGCACATCGCGCACCACACAGCACGCCACAAACTCACCGCACGCCGCCACACACAGCACACCGCGCACGACACAAAGCCTGCCCCGTGCCACGCACAGCACACCATATGCTCCACAACACCTATAGAGGGGCTGGTGGCCGCGTGCAGTCTTGGGGTTTTTGTCGTCTCCTCTCAAGGCAGGTCGTTTCATGCCTCAGGGCCCCACCGGCCTCCTGAACAAAAAGCAACCGGAGACTGGTTAACCTCTGAAGCCGCACAGCTAACCAACAAACGGGATCGAGCCGACGGCCATGCAGGCACCGATCGCATTCTGAAGTCTTTCCTCCACATAGCCATGCTCGACTCCCGTTCTCAGTAACGGCTCTGAGGACACCATCGCCTTGGATAAAGGACCGCAGCGTCACCGCGCTCTGCACGAGACCAAACTTCTTCGGTTCTAGAACTGTTCTTTGCAAGTGGTGCAAGTTGAAATCGACTTGAGCATAGTGCACTACGAGGGATACTAGTAAGCTTCCTCGAGGTAGGTACCGCTCACGCTTTTGGAGGCCACGACCTGTCCACGACGATAGTTGAAATGTACTTGAAGAAAGATGTACCAAAAACACTAGTTTCTGGAAAGCATGTCTCAGTAAATGAATGAATGCGTAGATTGTGATGCTGGAAAATTGGTCCTCGAATGTGAGTAGCAGATGTCAGGGAAGCCGAGTTGGCTTTCCGGGGTTTGTGCAGAACGCCGAGCATCCAGGACCCAGGAGCTGTTATTATCAGCGCTTCCAGGACCCCTTAGCTCGATAATGCTCTTCAGTCTTGGTATAAAAACATTTCACGGAACGGAAGGTACCTCATTTCATGAGCACGATCCCATGCTCTTGTTGGCCTTTCGAGGGCATGCGCGTGTGCAATATCTATCTAACTGTGTATCTATCTGTCGGTCTATCTGTCTGTCGATCTGTCGATCTATTGATCCAGCTATCTTTCGATCCATCCATCTATCCATCCATCTGTCCATCCTTCTATCTATCGATCGATGTATCGATCTGTCAGTCTATCTGTCGATCTGTCTATCGATCTATCAATCTATCGAGCTGTCGATCTTTTGATCTATCGATCTATCTATCTATCTATCTAGCTCTGCTCCTAAGAAAGGCTAGGTAGATTGGAATTGAAGGGTCAGTCTAGTCGTTCGATTAAGCAGCTGGTCAGAGTTTGCCAAGGCGATAGTGTTTGTTCCGGTTAGATCCATGTGACGCCATCTCCCGCCAGCTCAGCCTTCCTCTACGGGGCAGTTCCCCACTTCGGACTCCCACGTCGCCAAGATGATGCTACGGCCCAGATGTACGCTGTCTGTGCGGCTTGACATGGGGTCATGCAGAGGAGAGCGAACGTTGGCTATCGCCAATCCTCCGGAACAACGTCCCCTGTCCTGGAACCGCAGGTGCCGGAGGGGCTCAAAGTCCTGAGCGGGAAGCTGCCACAGAAGAGGCACCAGGGGCCACTCGATCGCCGGTCCACAGTTCCGTCAGATGAAGGAACCTCTGGGCATCAAATGTGGTCATGCCGTCTTGCAACTCCAGCAGTGCCCGGAACCGAACGGTTATCCAAGATGCGAACATCAGACCCGAGCACGTCCCAAAGAGCTCCTGAAGACGATCGTAGTCATTCGCAGTCGCATATCGCCATTGCGGGATCACTGGACTTAGATCTTCGCACCGGGAAGTCCCAGCTTCTGCCGAAGTGTTGGCTCGGCACGTGCACTCGCAGTGCTCGGCGCACACATCCATGTCGTTGGCGGTTCTCTACAACAAGGGCCATCGCGACTCGTAGAATGATGACGTGCTGATCAGAGACGGGGTGGCCGGAGAGCCTGATCACATGCAGTCCCCGCCCCCTACCGTCGGCTGCCAGTGGTTCCCGAACATAGTGCGGGCTTCGCCGCATGCAGTGCACAAGTGCTTCAACCTGCACTTTTCAGGGGCCTAGCATCCCAATGCAGAGTTGTAGCGACGCTTCGCGGCTGCCATTTGAGCTTTCACTCGGACCCCGGGATCCTGTTGCCCCTCTAGAATCTCTAGAACTTCTCATTCTTTTCTTCATTGGTGCACATCCACCTTCGCCTCCCTCTTCTTCTTCTTTCCTGGTCGCTTGCGGCAAGGCCGCCTTTCCGCATCTTTAACCTGGTCCTGATCCGGAATCGTAGGCTTGGAGTGCTGGGCAGAGCTGCCTTCGTTCCAGCATCGTCCCACAAGTATTTGTGATTGTTGAACACCTCCAGCAGAGCCCGGGAGTAGGTGACATGAGTAAGCCTCTGCTCCGACATGAGTCGATAGACCTTCTGCCAGATCGCTCGATCTGCCCCCTGATGACTCCGATCGCAACTGCTCGAGCTCCTGCAGGCACTTCAAGGCTCCCTCGCTCCGTGAAAATGCGCGCATGTGTAAGTACGCGAGCGTCATGAAGAATGTGTGGAGCCTGTAGACCAATGTCGTGACCTCCGTTAGCGGCTAGGGCTGATCTGCGTTGGCGATGGACAGCAGATCTTCTGCGCTGCGCATGAGCCCCGATGTCGTGATAATCACATCCGAGCGGGTTCGGATGGGTTCGGATCTCGGCCGGCTCAGAGAACGGCACCGTGCGGTGGATCAAAAAATCCCTCGAGACCTTCTGGATGAACTTCCTGTGTGGCTCCTTTGCATCGATCAAGATTACGTCCCGCGGGAGGACCCTCACGAACCGGTCCCTGAACTCACCATGATCTTGCCAAAGTTCTACGAGCTCGTTCGATGCGTACCGTGTCTGCAAAGCCTGAACAGCCTGCCATACAGCAGAGCTTGAGGAGACTGCCATACAGTGGCCAGCGCCATGAGGGAGAGCTCGCTGGTGGGGTCTGTCGCACCGAGCGCGTTCATGTCGCCCACGTTTCTTTGACTGTATGGAGATCTTGGCCGAGCATGGCGAGCCAGCTGAAGCTCTCTTATCCAGCATATGCTCACCTTGCCTAAGTCTAAGTCCACCTTTGCGTTTTGGGCTGCAGCGATTGCAGTGCCGTGTCTCAGCCTCTCGGCTGTTCATAATACGAGAGCTCATCCTGCGGCTTGCGTTGTGGATTCAAGCTTCGCTTGCATGCCCAGTTCTTTGCACTCACTTAGAACTGGACTCACACTGCAGTGCGACCAGAGCTTCGCTGAAAAGGGGTGCGTCCTGTGAAGTCTTGCCAAGGCTTGGAGCCCTGAAGGTTGGCCTTCGGCTGAGGCTTATGGAGATCTGCGTGTCCGTTTTTTTCCAGAAGCGGGCCAAGGCCTTGGCATGGTTCTTAGACACAAGGCCGAGAGTGCCAACGTTCTGCCCCCAGTTACGCGAGTGCTGAGATTTCTTTTGAAACGGATGCTTCCTGTTGGAAGGCTGGTTCTTTCTTCTGCACGCGGGAATGTACACAGCTGGAGGCCAGGTGCAGGTGTTCTGTGGTGCTGTGCTCGGCTGGCACTTGCTGCGGTGGCAGGAGCCTGCAGAAGGACCCTTCCGACTGGTGATGCAGACCGTCGAGGCGTTCGCTTTTGCCTCTGGTTCGCGATGGGTGCAGAGCACAATGAGTAGATCCATAGTCTGTGACAGGCGGGCCTGGGCTATCCTTTCATGGAGGACTCTGAGATCTCTGAGGCCACCTGGGAAGTCTGGCAAGGCTGAAGCTTCATCAACTCGTATACGCTCAGGTCGAGATCTTTCCACCTTCGGCGGTCTGCGACCTGGGTCACGTTGTCTGCAGTGTGGACAGATATTCGGGTCGAGCGCTGAGCCCAGGACGGCACGATCAGGTGCAAAATGATCGGAGTGGCTGAAGTCACTTCTCGCATCTTCCGGTGGCAGCTGGCTCAGAGACAGAGACAGAGAGCTCGGAGACAAATGATCCGGGTCCGGAAGCAGCGGCGGCTGCCAGGTGGTCGGGGTTGCAAAAGGACTCCCAAGAGGCGGCGATCGCCTTCCTGCAATCGATTGAAAACGAGGCGTCAAATAGGACAGACGAACGACGCAGAGATCTGCTTTCTGGCACTGCAGGTTGCGGCACCAAAAGTTAGGAGCAAAAGCCTCTCCCAGCAATGAGATTTAAAAGCGCAATTCTGCAAAGCCTGCACATTCGTCAACAGCTGGTGCAGCCAGTCTACCTACCCGATTTGCTCTGCAGCTCACGGCTGATGCTTCCAGTGTCTCCAAGCAGATACAGTGGCACACTGTAAACAGTCGCCAAATGGCCAAATCCATCAAAGTCGTCACCAGCGAATTCACCTTCGCTGCCATAACCGATGGCTTGACCTCGCTGACTTTGGCTGTGCCAGGCCTCGTCTTAGGCGTATTGGCGTATTGATTGTCTGACCTTGAGATGCTCCGCAAGGTTATGCCATGAGCAGCGACGATGTGTCTCTCACAGTTTCGAATTGCATGGTAGCCTGCCGCAGAATTTCTGCCGCTCGAGCCTTCCTCAATCTGTCCGCAAAGCGTGTGAGGCAGCGGCACATGCAGCCGTCGCAAGCTCAGTGGCAGCTGGTTCTTGAGAACGGCAGTTTTCAGCCCGTCTTTGACAGGCTTTTCTTGCAGCAGCTGAGAAGGGCATGCTCGAAGTGCTAACAGCACGCTTTTGTATGGAATCGCATCGAAGTCTCTATCGATCAAGACTCTCTTAACCTCGCCAGGTCGCTCGGCGACACCTTCAAGGCATTATGAGGATGTGTGAACAGATGGGGCCATGGCTATCAGATCGGTTCGAGGCCGGCACCGTCGAATGATTGTGTCATCAGCTGATGGCCATGGCAGAGGCAGGGTCCGCCCGGTTCTCACGCTCCCACGACTTTTCGGCATGGTCGAAGAAGCTACTCGACCTGCTCAATCTTCCGAGTGCAGGTGCAGTTCACTTGGCCGCGCGAGCAGGCCACAGCGAGGCACTTCGAACCGGAGATCTGAGTCCACCTCACTTCACATTACACTCACGGCATCCAGGAAAACGGTTCACATCACAGATCCAGGTTTCCGAAGGGCCCAGATGATAGGTGTGTTGCAATGGAACTGATGCCTGTGGAGAGGAGGGAAAAGGCTCGGGGAGACAGACAGGTTTTCTCTTCTCAAGCCAGAGAATGGAGCCAAGCGATCTGCTGCCCAGCTCCAGCTTGGGGCAGACCCTGGCAGCCCTCTCCTTGACGGACCTTCTCCAGGCCACCAGCTGCAGCCGGAAATGGCTCCAGCTTGGAGGCGAGCTGACGCAACTGCCGGCTTTTCTTACGGCACGGGAGACGCAGACTGTGCAGTCACTGCCGGTTCTGGCAGTCCGGTTCCCGCAGCTCCGCCCGGAGGTCTCGGCTGTCCTGACAGACTGGAAGCCGAGTCATTTCTGGGCACTGGACTGCGGCGGGCACCTGCTTCAGCGGATGGAAGTGCAGCTGTCCGAGGGTGTCGGGGAGCACGAGCTTTCTCACATCCTGAAGCACTGCCCTAATTTGCTCCACTTCCAACTGTCAGACTACGACCTTGTGGCACAGAATGTCTCTGGCAATTTCTTGAGGGACCTTCCCAAAGATCTGATCGAATTGAGGTCGTGGCCAGATATCCGGCTGAGTGTCCGTAACTTTCTCTTTATGTTACATGTCTGCCCTGTCCCGGCTCCCCTGAGGTTATGCCTTCTTCGTGATTTGCAAGACCACAATTTGAAGGTTGCGGTCAAATCTGCTCCGAATCTACGATCGATTCATCTGGAGGGCGTTGACGAACTCACAGATGATGGTATTGGTGAGCTGGGCGTGTTGATGCTGCGCAAGCTTTCTTTGGTTTTCACAGCCCTTACAGCGTCTCCACAAATGTCAGAGGCGACCTTGTTGCGGGTTTTGAGCAGGAGCCATGAGGGCCTCTCTGAAGGACTCGAGGTTTTTCAACTCTCTGAGCACGCTGGGCCACCGCTGATTCTTTCTGCTGAAGGTGTGAACTTTGCCAAGACCCTTGGAATCCATGGGAGGTCGTTGCGCATTCTGACTTTGTCGGGCGTGGTGGAGCTCGGCGACACAGCCTTTCAACTTCTGGCAGTTTCGTGCCCACAGCTGCGAGAGCTTTCTTTATACAGACCGGGGCACCAACTATCATCTGCCGGACTGCAGGAAGGGTTGAGGCAGCTTTCACTGGAACGCGTCAGCCTTGGCTGCGTTGCAGACTTTGCTGGTGCATTTCAGGCGATTCGAGTTGCAGGGCCTGGGCTCGAGTCGTTTGAGATGACACGATACTTCCGCACTGCAGCAGACGAGTCTGTGCATTCTGTTTTGCAGCAGTTGCGCAGCGGTTGCTTGCCTTCTTTGCGCTCGGCAACCTTCCGCGGGACGTTCTCCGCTGAGCAGGTTGCTGCTTGCTATCAGAGCGTGGCGGGTGACCTGTGGGAAAACCTGAGCTGGGAGCAGCTTGACGATCAGACCTTTTCGATCAAGTGGCCCATGTCATGTCTGGA